GTATATCAATCTGCTATTGGTCACACGTCTTCGCGTGATACAAATTTACAGGGTTCCAGTTCAACAAACTTGAAATTTGGTACACAGCCAAATGCAAAACTTTGTCGCTTGAGTGTGCGTTTCCTGTCTCCCACATTTGCATGCGTATATGAATGCAAGTCAATGGCACGAAAAGTGTAGTGTGACCACCCGTTTAGTTAGTAACTTGAAAGTATTAATGTGAACATATAATTTCACAGTTGTGACTTGATGTGATGTTTTCAATAATCTAATTCATTAAATGAACATTTGAGGTCATGTTGTCTTCTTGTGTTGCCATTGTTACTGTTTATTTTCGTCATGGACAAATTGAATTACTTCTCTGTTTGGCTCCTTAAATGCATTCCTCTTGCGTTGTGCAAAAGATTTATTGTAATTCAGTCATATTAGGACAATATTCTTCAGCTGTTGTTCAAATGGCTTCTTGTGTGGCTATTTCCCCAAAACATTGTTTATATAGAATTGGCTTTGTACGTTCACACGCACACTTATCCCAGTTATTTTGGTCATTTCATGGTTGTCTTTGCATTTTGTTGATATTCTGAAATCACAGTGATATTAATGAACAATAAGTATGACATGTCGATCTACAGTTGTTCCTGCTGGAGGAAATGAGGGAAAGAAAATACAACGGATATGCTCGAGTAATCCAACAAGCCTGGCGCAAACACATCGCTGTGCGCAAGTATGTTCGCATGCGAGAGGAAGGTGAGCGTTTCACTTTAATACCTGTATAATAATCATTTAGACATTTTTTATATATATGAAGAGTTCAGATGCAAAAGCCTCTAAATGCCATTTGAAATTTTCTTCTTTAATGATGATTTTTATCAAACTTGTATATTTAAGTTTAGTAATTTCACTTAAATAACAATTAATAGGTAATTATCATTGCAATTTAAGTGAAATCACTGAACTTAAAATATACAAGCTTGATAAAAATGACCATTCTAGAAGGAAATTTCAAATGGCACTTAGAGGCTTTTGCATCTGAACTCTTCATATAGACGACTAAGTTTGTGCCCTGATCTCATTGTTCCTCTGTGACAATCAATAGGCCTTGGGAAAGCAATCAGATGAAATTGATATTAAAATCACATTGCTTCTTTACTGATTCCAGCCTCTGACCTCCTGTTGAACAAGAAGGAGAGACGAAAGAACAGTCTGAACCGAAATTTCATGGGAGACTACATCGGCACGGACAACCACCCGGAGATTCGACAGTTCGTGGGTCGCAGGGAGAGGATCGACTTTGCTGACGTGGTGGTCAAATACGACCGCAGATTTAAGGTATGACTCAAAGTCATTTAACACACTGAAACTCATGGATCACTTCCTCTGTAACTCTCAAGTATTTTGTGCTAGTTTACTGAAGCTGCTCAGCAACAGATGTTTTGTTCTGCACATTGGACAATCCCATACTCACATGCTGTGTCAACACCCACAGACTGTCAAGCGTGACCTCATTCTCACCCCTAAGTTCCTCTATCTGGTTGGACGTGAGAAGGTGAAACAGGGTCCTGAGAAAGGCCAGATCCAGGAGGTCTTGAAGAGGAAGATCGAGGTGGAGAAGATCCAGTCTGTCTCTCTTAGGTACTTGATCATGCAGTATGCTTGATAACCTTTTGGACTTGAGTCTTCTCCCTACATTACAGCTTCAATATGCCTAATAAATCATACAACTACAGCAGAATGAAAAATCTGAATGTTTTCAAACACTTGAGTAAGCATTTAAGCAGGTTTTTTGTCATTGTTTGGACTTGCATGATGATGATGGGTGGATCTCTTTCCTCAGCACACTACAGGATGACCTCTTCATACTGCACGAGGATCAATACGACAGTGTGCTGCAGTCTGTCTTTAAAACAGAGTTCCTCAGTCTGCTGTACAAGCGCTATGAGGAAAAAACGCGGAAAAAGTTGCCGCTCAAGTTCAACAACCTGTGAGCAATGTTTCCCTCACTGTGAAATTTACCATGTATTACATTATCATACTCAGAAAAAGTATCATGTGCATATGTTGGTCTTGTAATTCTAACATTCAGCATATTTCTCACTCAGACTTGAATTTAAGGTGAAGAAAGGGGGATGGGGTCCGTTTGCATCTGCTGGCTCTCGACAGATCCAGTTTCAGCTGGGTCAGGGGGACGATGCAGTCCTGAAGCCGAGCAGCAAGGCCTTGACTGTCAGTATTGGCCCCGGTCTGCCTAAAAACACAAGTGAGTCTGAAATTCTGTATTTTAGTAAAACTAGTTTAGTGGCTTACAGTACCACACCAAACTGAAAATTCATCATTTACTCACCCTCAAGTTGTTCCAAACTCGAATGGATTTCTTTTTTCTGCTGAACACAAAGGAAGATATTTTGAAGAATGTCGGTAATCAAACAGTTGAATGGGCCCCATTGACTTTCATTGTTTTTTGTTTTTTTTTCTTCCTGTGCTATGGAAGTCAGTGTAGCCCATAAACTGTTTGGTTACCCATATTCTTCAAATATCTTTTTTTGTGGTCAGGTCAGCGGAAGAAAGAAACTCACACAGGTTTGGAACAATTACGAGGGTGAGTAAATGATGACAGAATTTTCATTTTTGTGTGGACTAACCCTTTAACCTCTTATAGATTGTGTGCTGTCCATTTAGTCATGTTTGCAAAATGTTTTAAATAGCTTTATGGGCCATATAATCACTGTGGTTTTACACCATTGATAACTTTTTTGCAGACCATTTAGAGATTGTAAATATAAATTATAATAATATATATATATATATATATATATATATATATTTGGGTTTGTATGATTTTGTAATGTTTGTGAAATAAGTATGTTATGCTGACCAAGGCTACATTTTTATTAAATCAAAAATACAGTAAATCAGTGTGAAATATTATTACAATTTAAAGTAACTGTATATATATATATATATATTTATTTATTTATTTATTTATTTATTTATTTTTTGTGGAAACTGATAAAATTTTTTTGTAACATATTTACAGGACCCACTCGGCGTGACAACCGAAAGAGCAGGCACATGGGGAACCAGAATCGCAATGTAGGCCAGTATTCACGTGGTAGGACCAGAGTTTTACATATTTCACTAAAATTGCTACTAAACTATTTTATAAATGGTTTTAAAATGTTTTAAAATGCTTGTAATTTCAGAGGCTCCAAAGTCTGTTGGTCGAGGAAGAGGAACTCAAGGGCAGCCCGCCATTAGGAACTCTCTGCTCCGTCAGCAGTCCAGTATGGATCAGCCCACCCTTCCCCGACTCCAGGGATCTCGCCGCAGTCAGCTCGAGAGTCAGATCCAAAGCGATATGGGCTTCATGAAAGTTCCTGATCAAGGCGTGGCAGGGTGAGATGATGGATCATATGACAGCAGGAAGCTCCAATAAAAGCAATCATTAGTATTTTAGACTCCAGCCTTCAGCTGGAACTAGTTTTCATAGATAAGTATATGACAGGCAATCATGTATATGACACAAATAAGTTAATAATAGTAACTCAAACATTTTTGGGGGAAATAAATTCTCTCACAGGTTAATTATATATGTATATATTTTTTTCAATTTTAGTTTAGTTTTTTCAGAGATAACTTAATTTTTTTTACATCTGTTATTAGTTAGTAGTGCATCTATACATCTACATCTATTATTATACAGTTAGTATTGTTTCTGGTTATTTCAGTTTTTCAAAGAAAGTAATCGCTCTTTTCTCTCAGGATGCAACGCAGACGATCGAAAGAGTACAAGCCTGTTCCAGGGTCAGGGCTACCCAAACCCAAACCCAAACCCCGCACCCCACAATGCAGAGCACTTTACGCTTATGATGCTCAAGACACTGATGAGCTCAGCTTTCAACCAGATGAAATCATAGAACTCCTAAGTGAAGGTAATCTATTTTATACCATTTAAAAGTTAACGTTATACAGGGTATATTGGGTAAGTGAATTCTGCGCTAACCCAAGATGTGCTGTCTTTCCAGACCCCTCGGGTTGGTGGAATGGTCGTATTCGAGGAAAGGAAGGCATGTTTCCTGGCAACTATGTTGAGAAGATTTAAACTGGCATGCTATTGGACAAAATGTGATTCATTACAGAAATTAGATCAAGAGGAACAAAGCATCAGCATTAAATCAAAGCAGCTTGGTGCCAAGTCAAGTGGATAGATGTTTACTGCAAAAGGTGCCACTCAATAGGATCCTTCTTTATACCCGATGAACTTTTTATAGAAAGTAGAAAGATTAATTTTTTATAGAAAGTTATTTTAGACATAAATGTTGAAGAAAAACTATAACTTTGTTTCACTATTGGTTTTTAAATGTGTCTTTGGAGAATAGAATGGATAAATCAATATTTTAATGTACTGTATTTTACTGAAGTTGTATTTTTAAAGATCCAAATGCTACTTTTTTTACAGATATTGTGCAATTGTATAAAATCAGAAAAGCTGTTTTCAGATACTTCTTGAACGAAAATAAAATGGAACACTTTTTTGTTTAATTTTTCCTTTGTAAGCTTCATTACAATTGTTTTAAAAGCCTGTTAGTTTATTTGACAAATGGATTTTTTTTCCCTTTATAAACAAAATTGCTAATGAAGCAGAAAGATTGCCTTTTTAAAGAAAAAAAAATATTTTGCTTTTTAGTTACATCACAGCCTTGCCATAATGTGCTACTTTCTAGTCAGTTGCAAGTGTAATTGGAGATAGGGACTTATTATTGTAGTAAGCATTTGATTGGACAAAAATCTGTTTAGTGCAGGATGAATCCTAAATGATAAATATTTTTGTTTTCAAAAGTGAAACTTTTATTAGTACACTAGAGTATAGTTGGTCTTAAAGCCTTTAAGTTAAAGGTAATGGTAACACACATGGACTAAAAACTACAAACTCACTCCGCAGAACTACATTTTTCAGCACAGAATGTGACGTCAGGACGTAACTCACCACTTGACGTCCCTTGCTCTCGCAAACATCTGAATTCCGAGTGGCAACTTGCACACAGTCAACCGCCCAAGACACTTCACATTTCAGAGGCACTGAAGGATATTTTAAACTCCTTTTAAGATTTTTCGTTACATAAAAACCTTCGGGCTCCGTGTAACAATGGAGGCATATTTACGGAGCTGTCGTGATGTGATTAAGGTAAGATTATGGCACTGTACGCTTAGAGAGAGGGTTGCTCGTGGTATGTTGGCTTGGTACTAACGTTACCATTTTATCCACTTAAAATATGGCCAGTGGCCAGTTCTTCCACTTTCTGTATGCTGAGGGACGCTCATAAACATGCGTGTTTGCCGTATATGATAGATTAGTGTGAAAAATAATGCATGCTTTGTTTGATTTACACTTGATATTGACATAAGTCATATGGTATGATGGCGCGTGCACAGACCCCTGGCCGCATGCGCCAATGACAGAAACGACCACATCACATGCATTGAGAGAAAGCACAGAGAAAGTTTGTTTGTTTACATTAGTTACACAACATTAGTAAGGTTTATTATTATACTTTTTATTAAAAATACTTAACTGTCGTGTTTAACTATCACCATTTAATGAATCAGGCAATGACACATGTAATGTTGTACACACGCATCTTTACCATGCTTAGTTAGCAGTTTAAAAAGGTCAGTTTGTTCAGCTGTTTGGTGCAAATCTAAAATATGTTTACTATTTTCTGATACTGTGTTTTGACAATAAGAACAATTCCCACTTTTCTAGTTTTACAGCTTAATGTGCTCAGTTTCAAGACTGAAGGTGGCCCTATTTCCAGAGACAATAACACCTGCTGTGAGTGTCCATTGTCCAACAGCAGTGCATCTCTATACCCTAAACACTGTTGTTTTAAACCCAAACACCCTGACACCTGCGCTCACCAACTGCTAGGCAGATATTATGAAGTCCTGTGTGTTTACTTTGAGACTCTCAGCTCAAGGAAGCAAGCAGAAATGGGTTCTTTAACTAATTTAGTCAATGATTAAAAAAATGATACGGTTGCACTTGTGGTTAAAGTGCTTTTTGTCTGCATTGAAGCATGAGGTTGTAAATAGAGAGAGTTCTTTTCACACTGATCCAAGACCCACAGGTTCTGGACTGTTTACTCACCATCCCGTGGTCCATTTCACATTGCGGTGACTAACTTCCTGTGTTGTCCCACCATGGGCATGAATAAGCCTTTTTTTCCCTGCACTTCCCCATCTATCAATGTTTTTGGTGATGATTATCACATGAGAAGAGAGGGAGCTTGCCGAAAGCTCAGCCTAAACAAGCCTCACCCTTGGTCTGGGCGAGCTGTAAGCTCGGTCAGTCTGTGTTGACAGTCGATCATTCAGTATTTAAAACAAACCCCAGCTGGTTGCCCATATCAGAGTACATCAGTTAATGCTGACGTCACAGATGCCTTCTGTATTCGGCTGGAGTAACGGAGAAGGCCAAATGCTAATTAACACTGGATGAGGATTTATCATGGGGAGATATAAAAGGCTTTGTTGAATCCAGGGTGATGCAGTCAATGTTATTCTATTAAAAGTGTTCTGACTGAAACTTCTATCTCACAAGTGGTCCAGCAAATTGTTGTGGATTCTCAAGCTCCAAAAAAGAAAGCATATTTTAAGTAACATAAATCTAGTCCATAAATACATTATTGTTCAAAATTGTGGGGTCAGTATTTTTTAATTTAGAAAGAAATCCTTTTGTTTAGCAAGGATGCAAAAATTGCTTTTTTTTTACTTTCTATTCCTCAAAAAAAAAATCTTGAAAAATAAGTATTACAAAGTTTGGTTTCCCTAAAAATATTAAGCAGCACAACTGTTTTCAACATTGATTATAATAAGATTTTTTTTTCTTGTGCACAAAATCAGCATATGGTATCTGAAGGATCATGGGACAGTGAAGAGTGGAGTAATGATGCTGAAAATTCAGCTTTGCATCACAGAAGTAAATGATATTTTAAAATATATTAATTAAATAAATAAATATAGCCTTAGTGAGCTTGAAACTATTTTTTCAAAAACATTAATTCTAACAGACCCCAAATTTTTATATGGTAGTGTAAATTCCTTCTGTCTTCTGAGGCCAGTGTTCTTTTTATCAAGTTTAAAAATGTGGATGTGCAAATGAGATTAGTTCCTCACACAAACATACCATTTGACTATATATTATGTAGGTTGTACGCACTACTTATATGGAGCGTCTTTTTGTCTTCAATGATAACCTCTCATCACTAAATGGTTTTATTGTATGTAAAAATGCAGTCAACATTTCCTTTTATGTTCCATGGATAAAGTAAAGTCCTTCATGTTTCGAACACAAGAAGTTGAGTATATTATGATAGAATTGTCATTTTTGGGTGTACTATAGGAAGAACTTTAAGAACAAATATTAAACATAAAAGAAAATCTGTTTTGTTGTCATCCATGTTATCACCTGTTAAGGAATACACTGCTGGACTAGTGTTTGTTGAGAAGCCTAAGAATGCGTTTTATCTTTGACACATTGCACCACTCCTCACACTGGCTGTCAGTGATATAGAGTGACTGTGTGATTATAAGTTAAACATTGTTTGTCAGATGAAGGCCTATTGGATACATTTTCAGCATGTCATGCAGTTTACTTGCTGTAAATATGTGTGCATACTGCATCGGGAATGTCACAATAACACAGACATTTTAGTTTTTTATTTCAGCCTGCAGTTTAATAGAGGCCACCAAAGCCTTGTTATTAAGAACTAGGCTTGCAGTTATACGTAATGAATTTCTTGTCCTATATTAGTCCGATAGCCTGACATTATTCTACTTCATTCTCAGGGTTCTAGTAAGAACAGCCCAGGGCTGCATGTCGTAATGGGAAATGAGGCTTGTGATGTGGACTCCATGGTATCAGCCCTGACCTTCGCCTACTTTCTTTCAAAGGTATGCAATGTCTTAATAAACCAAACATATCTGCTGTGTTGTTGTAAAGCTTTAAATTGTGGTGAAGATAATAGATGTGACTGAAAGTTGAGGATTATTGTTTTGTTCATCATTATTGTTGACCTGTTGTAGAGTCTTGATTGTAAGAGTGTACCGGTGCCTGTACTCAACATCCCTCGGGCTGAGTTTCCCTTGCGCTCTGACAGCGTCTTTCTACTGAGAGAAACCGGTCTGTCGCCTGACTACCTGCTTTTCAGGGACGAGGTGGACCTCCACGGCCTGCACAAGAACAAACAGCTAACCCTGACCCTAGTTGACCATAATGTTCTTTCCAGGTCAGTGTTCTGTTCTGTTCAGTTCAATACATGTATTGCACCATGTTTAATCTTCCATCTTCACAATCACACACAAAAAAGGAATGATAAAGGAGTCAAATTTTAACTAATTAATGAACTTGAATTGTATAGTGAATTTTCATTTAAATATATAATACTGTTCAAAAGTTTGTGGTCAGTAAGATAAAAAAATGCAATTGAAATTAGTTTTGAAATTTTTATAATATCTCACAATATAATTATTTTACTGTATTAATTATCAACAAATGCAGCCTTGGTGAGCATACGACAACATTGTGTATATATATATATATATATATAATCCATACATGTTCTATAATAATAATATTAACCACAAATATATGGCTAATTGAATGTAAATACATGGCAATATCAGAATATTGTTACAACAATGGTTATTTATATCTACCTCAAATGCCAGCCATGTTCTGAAATGATTTAGGCCTGTCTGTTCTTTTATAGTAAATCTGTTTTATTCTGTAGTGCTGACAGTGAGCTGGAGGATGCAGTTGTAGAAGTGATTGACCATCGTCACCTACAAAGGCCCTCATCTCCCTCCTGCTCCATCACAATGGAGACCGTGGGCTCTTGTGCCACCTTGGTGACAGAACTCATTGCCCAAAAAGCACCTGAGATACTCGACCAACAAGTGGCTCAGCTTTTATACGGTGAGTGTCATGTCGACATGATAAACACAGTGAGGAATGCTGTGCTGTTCAATCTGCTAGACACTGTTAGACATCAGATGGGCTCAGCATGGTCCTCCTCGGTGGCATTTAGCTGGAGCAGATAGATTTGACTTGTACATGTAATATGATAGAGATGTGAGGTGTCAGCAGAAAAATAAAATCTTGTTAACTTGCTGAATGTATTTCTGCCTTGTGTTGACAGGTAGCATTATCCTAGACTGTGTTAACATGGCCCCTGAGGCAGGTAAAGTCACCCCTAAGGACAGCCAGTACGCCATCTTTTTGGAGAAGCGTTTTCCAAAGCTGCCTCCGAGGGGCGCTCTGTTTCAGTCGCTACAGAATGCCAAGTTTGACGTGTCAGGTGAGAGAATCTTTTTATGGTGTAAGTTAATGAATCAAACTGCTTGTAGACTCATTAATACTTGCAATATGAAATAAGAAATGTTGCAATACTGCTCTGTACTTCAGGCCTCTCCACAGAGCAGATGCTGTTGAAAGACATGAAAGCTGCAACCGCTGGGGATCTGAACTTGGCTGTCAGTGTGATTTACATGACACTAGAGGTCAGTACTGTTATGACATCTTTCACTTTACCTCTGAAAGCTTCTACAATCTTGCTATGGTGTTTTGGACGTTTTTGGTTGATAGAGTTTACAATAAAACTGATATTTATTCAGGTATGTATGTAGATATATTCAGATTCTGATATTTTGCCACTTTCTTTGCATATATCTTGAAATTGTGTCTGCAAATTGCTGTTTTGTATGTGAAAGATGTTTTAAAGGATTTAATTAAAATATATATATATATATATCTTATAATATATATAACTTAGTCTATTTTATTTTTCTATGATTCAATATTTAACAATTGTTGCAGTTGGAGTTCAAATTTCTTCTGATTTGTTCTGGGACAGCCACATTAAGGACATAATTTCGGAGGTGCATCCTAGAATCCAGTCTCTCTATGTTGCTAAAAACGCAGGTCTCCCTTGTAATGTTCTAATGAAATTATATTTGACTTTTATACGGCCTAATACGCTAGCCCAGTGTGGGGTGGACTACCTAAAGGTCTCTGATGAGTTAGAGAGGGTCCAAAAACGTTGCTGTCGCATAATAGGTGTTCCAACTTCCACCCTCCCCCTATCAACAGTGTTGGGCATGTTACTTAAAAAAGTAATTAGTCATATTTACTAGTTACTTCTCACAAATAGTAGCTGAGTTAGTAACTGAATTAAATTATTATAAAAGTAACTAATTACCAGGGAAAGTAACTATTGCGTTACTTATAAAAAAAAAATATTTAAAAAAGTTAAAATAGGCCTATGTCAAATAACTTGGATGCACCCAATATTAAATATGTTAAATTAATGAAATGAACATTATAGAGTAAATTATTATAAAACATTGTACAGTAATCTACACTATCGTAATGTTGCTGTGGGACAATGTGAGAGACACCTATAAAATCCAATATATTATTTTAAATATTATCATAATTTTAGGTTTAGGTTTAGAGCTTTTAATATTTAATATTGCACAGACCACAACTGGCCAACAAATAAGTCTGAAAATAAATTATTCTTAAATGTACCAAAAATGAATAAATAATAATGAAAAAAATATACATACACTCTTTGTAGTGAAAGTTAAAATGATAACCAGTTTAACAAGAAGTGCTCTCAGACCCCGAATACCCAGAACGTTCCCTGCAGGGTTTTTTTTTTTTTGATTTTATTTGTATTACCATGTAAATTAATTAAAACCTTGCAGATGATACCAATAGGCTACAGAGATTATTATAATGCTGAAATTTCAAATTTATTTATAAACAAACTATATAATGCTCGGACACACTTGGTCTCTCTCGCACCGTTCGCTTCACTTTAATCCAGTTTGTTGTGGCCAGGAGTAAAACAAAAAGACTTTCTTTTATTCGACGTGCTCTTAAAGGATTAGTTCACCTCAAAATTAAAATTTCCTGATAATTTGCTCACCCTAATGCCATCTAATATGTTCATGTCTTTTTTTCTTCAGTGGAAAAGAAAGAAGTTTTTGTTTTTGTTTTTATTAGTTTTAAATTATGGACATAAGGTTGTCTTGAGTATGTGTTATGTTTAATACATTTCAGGGTTTTGTTCTTCAATTTCCTTTCTTGTCAAACTCTGATTAAAAAAAAATACTTCACAGCACCTACAGGATGTATTCTTGTGTTCTTAAAAATATCTTTGGATTTCATCTTGATATTATGCAAGTAAACAGTGACATTTTTTTCATGGCCAAAAACAAAAGATCTTCTGTTTCATGCTTGTGGCTAATTGCAATAGCTTATATTTTGATCAATAATTAAATATTGGTGATTGTATTGATACATCTCCCTAATCTCTATAACCTTTAAGTTATGTGTGGAATCTCAATGTATTATTGCAGCATTTCTGAAACACTCTGGCAGGACGTTAAATTTAGAAGATCTCATGCAAATTACATGTTTCTAATTGAATGGAGTGAATCTTGTGTTTGTGCTATGCATTTAGCCTCAGTACTTGGTTCCACAAAGAGGATTTGGAAAAGTAAGAAGCTCTTGTTGTGGGCACATGATGTGCTCATGTGCCCATCCTCATGACTCATGACAAGAATTCCTCATTAATACTGAAGCACAACCAAATCCAATTCAGACACACCCAGACTCACCGCAGGGCTAGGCGGCCCGTCTCGCACACACCCACTGATTATACCAGACGTTAACCTCCGTGACAGACTCTCATGTCCTCTTGTTAGTACAAATACAATAATAAGACAGAACGCTGCTGAATCTGATGTGTATCAAAACTTACAAGAAAGTTATAGATTCAAAATCTGCCCCAGGATGAAAATTATGACACTTGTAAAATAAACATTACCCACAGAATCTCACTTTATTACTTCAAAGTAATAATTCCATCAATATAATGTTTATTACGTTATTCTTTTAACTGTCAGGAATAATGTGAGTGGCCATTAATGATATTTAGAAATTTTGTCCAATTGATTGACAATGTGTTTGAAGAAATTATGTTTGACATGCATATTTTAAAAACGATATTTTCCAGTCATAAATTAGTTCTTTAAAATACCATACAGTCATAATAACATTTTACTAACAGCAGAAAAAAAATACACGTATGTTGGAATTCAAAGGAATCAAAACTCTAAATGGCAGAAGAACTATATTGGGCGTGGAAAACATGCATCTCAAGACCAGTTTGTGAATGTAATGCTCATGTGTTAAAAGAGCTGTTCTGTCTTTAGGCTTTTCTTCAGAGGCATGGCCTACAGCAGGACCTCTGTGAGTTCTGCCACAAACACAGCTACAACCTGCTGGTCGCAATGACAATTTCTTTCAACGACAACAAGGAGCCCTTCCGACAGCTAGCCGTCTACAGTTCCAGCACTTTCTACAGAGAAGAGGTACTCAGTACACTTTACACTTATTAGGGAAATTAGCCTACAGATGTCTTTAATGAATTCATCAAACTCTGTCTATTTATCAAAGAATCCTGAAGAAAATTATGTTTTCCACAAAAAATAAAATTAAGCAGCGCAGCTGTCTTCAACATTGATAATAAGGAGAAAAGTTTCTTGAGCAGCATATTAGAATAATTTTTGTAGGATCATGTGACACTGAAGACTGGAGTAATGATGCTGAAAAGCTTTGCAATCACAGGAATAAATTACATTTGAAAATGTATTAAAATTAGGGCTCTCAAACGATTCAAATATTTAATCGCGATTAATCGCATTAATGTCATAGTTAACTTTTTTATCTATTCTAATGTCTCTTGATTTCTTTTTGTCCCATTATTATTTTTTTCTCATTTTAATGTTTTTATCAACATGGAAAAGTGGATCGGCTTGCTTTGTGCAAATGTTTTTATTGACAACAACATTGGCATATTACTGTGTTCAAATTCACAATAAAAAATTCTCACTTGGAGCAAATAATCTCTCACACAATGTAACTGTCCATCAATAAAAGGGTGAAAGAAATACTGACGAGGTCCTGACATTGACGAGGGGGCGGAGAATTCGCATTAGCTGTGTGTGTGTATAGCTCAGTTCACAACGACAAAACACACAGATCACCTTGGTCGTGTCAATGGAACCATTTGTCAACTTTTTAAAAGTAAACTTTCCATTTAGAATCTTATTGGCATCCATTTTGGCGTCTCGCGCTCGTCATCCACACAAAACATAACGTTAACCAACTATTTGGCCAGCTCGCAAGCCCAAACGAGTTTGTGCGGCGTCTGTTGTTTTGTTTCCGGTCTAGCTAGATCTGCTTGCGCTTTAATCGGCGAAGCAATGCCTCGCGCGCACAAGCCATTGAAACGAATGGGTTTCAGAGTGCAGCGCGCGCATGCCGCGTCCTGTTGCAAAAACATGTGAAAGAAAACTACTGTACAAAGTTTGCTAGGCCAAAAAGTCTGTTAATCGCGCGATAAAAAAATTGGCGCCGTTAAAATGGGTTTGCGTTAACGCTGTTAATAACACGTTTAACTGACAGCCCTAATTAAAATAGAAAACAGTTATTCTAAATTGCAGCCTTCCTTTAAAAACATTACAAAATCTTATCGACCCCAAACTTTTGAAATGTGATGTATAATATAAGTTGAGAATCTGTTCTAATTGATATCTATTTATTGTTTTTCATAGATGAATAAAGCACTAGAAAAAGCCAAAAACCCCAGTCTGGACCTTAAGCCGATGAGCAGTCCATATCCGGACGTGAAGGCCTATATACAGGGTAACACACTGGCGTCCCGTAAGAAAGTAATGCCCATAATCACAGACTTCCTGAAGGAGAGGGAAAGGAAAGTGGCTCAATGTGGGAACATGGAAGACCTAGATCTGGACGATTATTCTTATCAGGACCAGAGTGACTCACAGCAATGTCCTGAGGACGCGGGGATTGAGGATGACGCTCAATTTCCTCCAACGCCAATGAACAGTCTGGTTGAGGGTTGTCCATTGGACAATGGCCTACCAAAAATCAGCCCCGAGGTTTTGGTGGAGAAAGTTAGCAAGATGGCCAGCATGGAGGACTCGTCTCCTGAGGGACAATGATGAAAGACCTGATGTCCAAAAGAGTCTTGGATATGAGCTGGAGAAGTGAATTCCCTTTGCGTCTTCAATAGGATGCGGTGGTGGTGCATCAGGGCAGGAGAATGTAATGGCACTTTTTTGATCTGGTTAACTCACAAAGGTACGATACGGTCTGAAGAGACCATTCTGTTGACTTTCTAAGGACTGATACAGGATGATTCAAATGGAGAATTACATAAGTGCATCATATATAAGATGTTTAAAGTTTGGGTGTCATAAAAATGACTAAAATATCAGGTTTAGCCCATTTATTTATTGGTCTCAGTTGTATTCATATTTGATCTAAATTACTCTTTGATTGAGTAATTTGTGGCTTTGACTCCCCGCACCTTTTTTTGGTGTGTGGTCCAATCTATATCCAGGTAAACATGAACTTAATCAGTTCTAATATTGACGATATACACCCCGTGCAAGCTCGCGACTGACAATTGATAGAATTAACTAATTCCATATTCATTTCCATTATTATACAAGCAATCATAAGGTGGTATTTATCATAGCTTTTGGTGCCACTTATATTCTTTGTAGTATTAAAGAAGTTATTTTTAGCCTGTCTGATGACCACATTTGTAGCATGGCATTGATACCCGCATTAAATTATTTTGACTTGTTCCTTGATTTTTTTAAAAGTGAGTGGAAAAGGCATTTACAGTACACGTACAGTGTTAGCCTAGCAGACAAGAGAAGTTTTAATCTGATACTGATATACACTGGTTTACTTTTTAGGTGGCCATAATTTGTGTTAAGCTTTGAAAGTTAGTTGCATATACACATACATAAAAATGTACAATATACATGTATTATAAATAAATATTTCACAGTCCTGTCTGCTAGGCTTCCAGTGTGTAAACAAGCAGTTACTGTTAGGATGAGTCAAAATGATGACTCGGCTCACGCAGACTCGCAGAGTACATCGGATTAGTACATCTTGTCATGATTCCCCATTATTAATATCGTAAAAGAGTGATTGTTGGTAAATGGAAAGTGAGTGTGACCCCGCTGTGGCCTTTTGCATGTTATAGGTGTTAACTGACCTGCTCCTGGTTAGAATCAGGGCACCTGCATTTTACTCTTTATTAAATTTTACCATTAACTACCAAAGACCTCAGCTGTATTTGTGTGCGAGGCATGTTTAGCATTTAATCACTTGAGTTTTAAAATGTAAAAGTTCAGTATTTTCTTGATTTCTGTTGTTCTATATTACGTAATTTATTTGATGATTTAGGTTTTAAAAGTAGGGTTAAAAAAGGTTTATCATGAACTGTCCTTTTGATTTGTTATATGGCCTTCAGCTTATTAACAGTTATTAGAGATCACTCACCATCTGACATTCATTATCAAAATCTAAAGATCGCTTTATACTGGACTATCATTTTAATGATATTCATTATGTTAGTAAATACAAAAGCTCAATCTAAGGTATTTCAAAGGCCTAATTGGAGGAATTTTACTTGACACGTTTAATTGGACAGTTATATAAATGTTTTTTGTTCATAGAAGTTAAACTAGTTTAGTCATGATTTCACACACACAAAAATAACCGTTAAACAAAATAATCAGTTAATACTTGAAACATAGATGGTTTGTTAGTATTTTGAGGTGCCGTGTATCCCGTGTGAATTTACCCTGACTGTTAGTTTGGTGAGATTTGACATGGTGACTGCAGAAGATTGCTGCATGCTGCCTCAGGACAATTAAGCACACTGAATAATGCCAATATCATAATAATGATGTATTCAATGTTGATTCAATGTCAAATTATGAATATGCTATGGTTGTGAAGCGGGATATTCAAGAATGCATTCTATGTGAAGTATTTTATTGCCATGGCCTTTTTTTATTTCAAGTATTCCTGGACTCAATATCAATAAAACATTTTCATATTGTTCCATATTTGGTTTGTGAGGTTCATCTATAAAAAGGTACAGTTACATTACAATCTTATGTTTATTGTCACCAAGGCTGCATTTATTTGAGTAAAAAAAGAATATTGATTAAAATATAATTTTAAAATGTAATTTATTCCTGTGATGTCAAAGCTGAAATTTCAGCTGCTATTATGCCAATCTTCAGTCACATGATCATTCAGAGTAGCATTTATTTTTATTATGATCAATGTTTAAAACAGTTGTTTCTGTGGAAAACATGTACATTTTTTCAGGATTCTTTGACGATTAGCTCTGAAGAACAGAATTTATTGTTTTACTTTCACTTTTGGTCGATTTAATCCACCCTTACTGAATAAAAGTCTTAATCTTTTTCAAAAACATAGATCTTACTGACCCCAAAACTTGTGAAAAGTAGTGTATGTACCTAATAATATAATAATCAAAAAATATGTAGACAGTTTTCCTTCTGGAGAGGCCTGTAACTTCAAGGGTATTAGGACCATGAAGTTTTGCCTTTGTGTGGCTTCTTCCTCCACCTTCCCAGCCTTCCCTGTGGGGGAGCAGAAGTGCTCAAAGCAGCTGAACCAATGGGAGACAGACAATTCAGTCAACAGAAGTCAGAAATGTTGAAAAACCTGTACTGACAGTCAGGGTGAGTTCCCTAACACAAGACACAAGATACAGTCACTGAAACTGGCTGCCATTGTGGCGAAGCTCATAAACCACCTCATGTCATGGTCATCAACTGAGTTCACTGAATGCATTTCTAATCTAGACAATTTCTTTTAAAAACTTTGACATGGGACTTACTCAGACCAGAAGGAAGGATACCTGCAAAATGAGTAAGTCAAAATTTAGATTGCCTGTTGTCAAATCTGTCCCTAAATACTGAAGTAACATTAATGAAGTAATGGATTATTTTGTACACAATATAATGATAACATGGCCTCTCAAGGTTTCATGGTCATGGTCATCAAACACATTTATAAGATCAAAACAAGTATCAGAAGAGGTCATAAGTACATACTGGATAAACCAGAGATGAATTTACGAGTTGTTGGTCGTTCTGTTGCGCTGTGAAGTGGACAGTAGTAAGACAAGAGAGAAATCCTTGTACAACTTCTGTATCTGTTTATTTAGAAAAAAGGAAGTTGCAGTTGAACTGATTTCCGGCACTTTTGCCAAACGTCTTGACTAATATTTGAGACCTAACAACCAAACAGAAAGACATCACCTCTTATATCCTGTCACATTTACACTAGACAAAATAACAAGGGTTTTGTTGCTGTTATATGAGTTAAAAATGCACATATAAATGGAAAAACTTCAAAAAATGTAGTTTAGTAAGGTTTTAATATTTTATCAGAGAATACTTTTACTACAATCTATAATGATTGATTTTCATTGGCACCACTTCAAAAAACTCTCATTTTCAGAGTGTAAAATGGAGATGAAAGCTTTTATGCAATAATAATGCTTCTGTAATTCACAGAATAGGTCTTTTGACTTGTTAATTTCCATATTGGATTCCATGTTCATGTCCGGACAAGACGAGAATGCATGAAACTTAGTGTCATAAAAGCCCTCCTCAGTTTTTTTTTTTTTGTGATATGACTAAATCTAATAATGCCTGAATGCTTAATACAGTAAGTTCCAGAATGAGTTGCTAAAGCATCTTACAAGCCAAGACAAAAAGGTTGTCACAACAGGCGATTACTTTACTAAGTCTTGTAAGAGTTACATCAAGAACAATTGCTGAAACAGTATTATATAATCATGCCTCAGTTAGGACAACACTGGACATGAGATTACACACAACACAGTGAGACAGTTGTTAACTAAAAGCATAGAGCCTATTATGTTCGAGCAGGTAATGTTTGAAATAATGTATAATCCCTGAGCAATTTTGCTGGACAATAGTGTGTGTACAGATTACAGGTTTCATCAAGATCTGAATGAATTTGGTGTTACTGGTTAGTGGCTATCAGAAACCGGTTCAGTTACAGCAGAAGCTCTTATGTTGCTGACAGCAGGAGCACACCGGCTCATTGACTGCCTGGAATCAGCTGAAAACAAAACTAGATTTTCTGGTCATTAATGCCACGTGTAATCGCCACATGTGTGACGTAAAGAAATACTTGAGGTATAAAAACAGGAACAATTTTTATATACAAGTTTTATATTTCACTTCAAATCTGACAAGGTTTACACAATGGTAGTATACTGCTATTTTCAATATATATATATAGGCCAATATTTGGATGGTATAGCCTATGTAGAACCAGAAAAAAATGAATATAAAATATTTAAATATGAAGATATGGTATATATTTAGGGTGAATCTGATAGTTTAGAGGTATTCATATGGCGCATCTCCTGTACTTCCATTGTCTTACAAAATTGCTCCATATCTTTTCTCGGATAACCTCTAAATAACACTGTCAGACACAAAAATGAATGTCAAATATTTATTTTAAATATTGAGAAATCTTGCATTCTGCAGTAAATAAAGATTTGATACTACATGATGGTCTCAAACCATCATCAGCGTCACATTTTTCAGTGTTGACAAAAAAAAAAAAAAAAAATATCACGCATGTATTAAATGCAGCCAAAGATGATTTTGCCACATTTTATAAATGTTGCTTTACAAAAAAAAAAAAAAATAATAAAAAATAAGGGCAGCTAGGGCAAAGTTTTGTTTCAAGCTTTTAATTCTATTATATTTAGTCCTATTTATTAGCAGAACTTTGTTGTAGTACAATATGATGTCTGAGTGGGTGTACAGCTGTAGATTCGTGGGAAGGACGTTTAACCGCTCTCTCAGGTGCGGAGGCTGCGTCATCAGGTGTGACGCGCTCTGATTGGCTGATTCTGAGTTTGGCATGAATGTGCTTGCTTTAGGTGGGTAGAGTATCGCCCTTCTCGTTGTAAAGGAAAGGTAGATAGCGAAGTTTTACAACAGTATCCTGTAATACATCACTTACATATAGCAGTTGTAATGTTTTTAGGCAATAGTTGTTTTTTTGTCAAATGAAGAAGGGATTTGTTTTTGATACGCACCTACGTGTTGAAAGGGTGAGTTGAGCATGTTTACATTGTTATTTACATATGTCCATAAAGAGCGATGATGGGCGTTAACAGGGTTTTAATTGTACACTACCGTGTTATTACGTTCTGTTTTGATTCAACACGATAAATGCTCACTTACAGTTTTACATCTCTGTCTGTCTGTCCGCCCGTTCATCCGTCTATCTGTGTGTCTGTCCAAATTTGTTTAAAAAAATTCGTCACTTCTGCTCTTAAAGGTATAGTTCACCTAAAAATGTTAATTCTGTCATAATTTTCTCACAGTCAAGGTGAGTGTTATTTCTTCTGCTGAACACAAAAGAAAATATTTTGAAGAATGTCTGTTACAGTTGATGGGTCCTATTGACTTCCATAAAATACTATGTAAGTCAAGGGGGCCCATCAACTATAACCCATATTCTTCAAAATATGTGTTCAGCAGAAGAAAGAAATTAATTTGTTCAGGAAATTCAGGTTTGGAACAACTTTAAGGGGTGAGTAAATAATGACATAAATAATTTGGGTGAACTTTCAATTGATCACTGACAACAATCAGATGTCAGTGTTATAGAAAGACAGGACAAAATGAGTCCAGATTTGAAAACTTGATAAACAGCTACACTTTGGATATGAATACACTGAGGGTTTTTATCTTTATTATTTTTAATATGCTGTTAAAAGGCAGGTTTTGCAATTCATTGAGTAACATCTTATCCATGAAATCTAGTTATTGGGATTTAAAAATGGGTATTGAAAGACCCATACTTTAAACGAAATAGCTTTAGAAACATAATTATTTTTTATATCTTTAGAAAGGTTTATTTCACCAAACGTTTAAAAAATAAATGCTGTATTTTAACATAAAGCGATTAGGGAATTGGGAGAGACAGATTTGGTGTCGAATATTTTGTTTTGCAGCTAAAATTATTACACAAATTTAAATATCATCAACGATTAAACGATTGGGTTCTGTAATTCACTGCAGGAATTCAATTCCAAACATTTGGCTGTATATTAAATACTTTATACATTGATCTTGTGCTGACCTGTTCTGTAATTAAAACAAACAAACCTGGAATTTTATCTTGACAATTTGAGGAGTAGGTTGTTATGCTTAGAACTCAATGATTAATTATTAATAAAGTTGTAACGTATGGACCAAGAAGCCCCCGTGCCTTCCTTTTACATTTTCAATTTATTCATGCAGACATTTGGAAAACGTCAAGACATCTGCCTTAATCCCCGACATGGAGCTCAACGAGGAATGGCAGGATGAGGAGTTTCCCAGGTAATCTGCACTAACAGGTACATGCACCTTTTCTATGTTCATCTTGAGTGCAAATGGGATTAAATAATGTGATCTTTGTAGGCCCCTTCCTGAGGACACACAGAGTCCTGATGATGAACAGGAAAGCCCTGGAGCGGAGGGAAACAGGCCTGGTAACTTCATTTTTCCATTTAGTTTCTGGCCAAAATATGTCTCTTAAATGATTTAGGACTTGTATGTATAAACACTACTGTTCAAAACTTGTTTATGGTTTTACTGACTGACCCCAAACTTTTGAACTGTAATGTAGTATTTGCCATTTGCCAAGGATGACCTCTCTTTTCCTTTCTTTCCACTAGTCCCACCGACCAGCCTGGCCCTGACCGGTGATACTGTGAGGAAGAAGCGACTAGTGGCCCCAGCGCTTAGTTTAACACTGGACAAAACCTCTATGGACCGGAGCTTGAAATCAGATGAGTTTGACGCTTCCGCCCTTTCACCATCTGCTGAGGATGACGAGATGGACATTAACCTGGAGGCCTTAGAGACCCCCTCAGACAGCGAGTCTTGCAACTTCCCAGACAGTATGCACGACTTGGAGTGGGAAGGTATTCTTTATTTTGACTCTCATTAGGGTCGTGTTGTTTATTGTTTCCTTTGGGATCACATGCTGATGTATGGGACTGGCCAATCCTCAGAGAGCACTGGTTTACTATTAGTACTGTGGTCATTGCAGATGATCTTCCTAGGATGGGTAAAGCAGCGATCAGAAAAGCCAGTTTACTAGAGCACGCAGAGATGGGACACTTGGACTTGGATCAGGTGGACAGCAATGGGAGGCGATGGAGACGATTCCATATTGGCGGCCAAGACTACCAAGTCAACATGAGCGTTCTGGAGCCGTATCTCCAAGTTCTTTCCCATGGAGGTGAGTTTTGTGGGACAATTTGGGATGAACATGGTCAATTACAAACTAAATTGACCTTGTTTTATAGGGTATTATGGGGACGGATCGACAGCCATCATCATCTTTACTGCCTGCTACCTACCAGAAAATACAACACAACATTATGAGTATGTGATGGACAATCTGTTCAGGTAAAACTTGCTGATGGTTTGGTATGAATTTTCTCTACAAGCAATGTTATTTTTTTTAACTTGTGAAAATGCACATTTAATGATTTTTTTGGCTTTAGGTACATTATTGGCACGTTGGACTTGATGGTGTCTGAGAATTACATATTGGTGTGTCTGTGTGGAATGGCCCCTCGCAATAAGATGCCCGGCATGAAGTGGCTCCGACAGTGTTACATGTCCATTGACAGAAGGTGAGCTAGTTACTGTGTAGTTACTGTGATTTATCATCAAGTTAAACGAATTTATGCTTAAAGACAACCGGAAACGACATCGTAAGACATGCAATTTCCGCAATGTAATGTATTTCCAAGAAATGCAGAATGCCTAGTATGGAGGGACTTGATTTTACGTGTCAGGATTCCATTTCTGTTAGTGATATTTTCTCCACTCATGTGGCTAACAAAAAAGGCTGTTTAAGAACGTTATTACAGTATAATTTTGTGATTATGAATGTTAGAAATGTTTTCTGATCAAGAAATGAACATGTTTGCTTTTGAAACAGGAAGTTGTGGCAGAACAGAGAGTCAGTAGATTTTAGTTTGTGAGACAGCCTGGAAAAAAAACAAAAGAAAGTATCTTGAAATTGCTGTTGGTATTAGGGAAAGGGACATCCTCATTCTAAAGATCTAAGACTCCCCTGAACAGGAGATGATAATCAATATTTTTGGTTCTTTTTCCCAGGAGAGAAAGACTCATTTGTAGCCCTCAATCGGGTCATGGGGTCTATACGATCCCAATCAACTTTTACTTTTACAAAAAAACAAACAAAAAAAAAAAATTCCCTTCATCTCAGTGGAATAACATTTTGTGACTTTTCATACATTATCTATCTATACCCACACAAAAAAAACTGGGCTTGATTTGGTTGTTCTGAAGGTATGTAAAAAAAAAAAAAAAAAATGTTTACGCTTCTGGTAAGGGAAATGGGAAATGTGAAAAAAACTAATAAAAAATATATTTTCTTCATGTGTCCAAAAAAAACAAACAATCCGGCATAAATCTGAAATTTTTTACACAGAAATGAAGGCCTAGTACTAGAGCATAAATGCAATGTATCATGTAAAATAATATTTCATATGCTAATGCTAAAGCTAATTGTGTAGTTGAGGAATTCTGTGGTATATGGATACAAAATTACTTTATATCTCCAAAAATACAGCATTAATGAAGGGATGAGAAGTAAACAAAAAATGATATATTATTTGAATGATTTATAATTTTTGTACAATTACTCAATACATTTTTGGGGTCGTATAGACCCCGAAGCCCAGAAGTGTAAACAGGAAACGAAGACCATTTGAAGGTTAAACAGTTATTTTAAATTGTAATAATATTTCACAGTATTCCTGGATTTTCCGGTGTTTTTTGAAAGCCACCAAACTCCTACTGAAACTACAGTGTAAATGTCCATCAGTTCCAGAAGAGGGCGTCTGTGTCTTCGCTCTGACTGGTTGTCTTCCTTTAGTTTAGTTCCTGTTCAACGTGAGATCCCACCTCTGCTCTCTTTTTCTTAATGCCCCTCATATGAAATATGATAGGAATGCTCTGGACTCGTACATACAGGGCAATGTTATCAGGGTTCTTCCAGACATTCCAAAGATAACCTTTGACCTGTTCTCAGCTGTCATGCTTTTTTTGCTGCTATATTTAGACATTTTTAGATTGCATACTTCATTTAGGATTAGTTTCTTAAGGTTTATAAGTCTTGTGTCGGCTCTCCATGGCAAGTGTAGCTGTTCTCAATGGACGTCACACAAGTGGAAAAGTTATTTTAGAAAAATCACTGTGTGGTTATGTAAGGGATATTGTATTGTCAGCTGGTCGTAATCCCTTAATAAACTTGACAAGGGTGATGATTAGGATCGGGCCAAGATCCTAAAAGTGTTTGATCTGTGGTTATTGACCAGGAATACCTTTGTAAATTCATGTTTAAATTCTCTATATTCTGGCATATCCATTTCAAAGCCGTATTTCACTCTCCCAGGTGAAGGTCATTCTTATAAATGTTTAATATGAGGAAATTGTATGCTCTGGAAACAAATCAGGGTTGTTATGGCTTATCATTGGGAAATGAGGAACTAAGGAGTGTGGGATGCTCTTGAAAGTTCGATTTGTCATTCCTACTGGCTCCATTGCGTCATTGCATGAGATCACTCATACGCTGCTGTACAGACAGCAACAGAAAACAACACAAACAAACACTGTTTCACACAATTTCACAGAATCAAGGAGGAAAAATAACTGATAGAAGTCCATGTGAATACCACGGAAACTAAAGGGAAACCCCTGTGATACAGTTCTGTAATGTCAGCTAGTCTGATTCTAGTTTCAGATTTTGACATTTAAAGCTAAAATGCAAATAAATACGAATACAAAATATGTATCAATAAGATTGACCATGTCAGCTGTTTTGTATTAAGGGTTAGGTATTCTTGCTTCCATTGAAGCACAAAAATCACTTTGGCTTGAAGTGGGACCAACCAAATATTATACGCACATTATGTAAACAAAGACTTTTATGTTAGAAGCGTTTAATCGATTTAACAGCAGTAGAATAATGTATTTTGTAGTATTCAGAGTCCTAACACTTAAATAACATATGCAAGGAACAAAACAAAAGTGGAACTGGTTATATTTGTGGGTGATTTTTTTGGCTAGTAGACAAGTGGAAAAACAAATTGTCATCTCCAAGTTTCTGCCTGTGTCCCATGATTCAGTGGGCTGCCTCTCATGGTTTCACACGGGTCCGGCTGATGCTGATGACGCTCAGCATTTTTCCTCCTTTGTGTCCTCATGTTCTGCATGAATCCTGGGGGTTTGACCAGCTCCTCTAGTGGGAGAACCAAAGCAGATGTTGGAAACAAAATAGTTTTATGTGGTAATACAGTATTTTCCTTTGCTTTCCTCTGCAGGTTAAGGAAAGACTTGAAAGGGCTTTTCGTGGTTCACCCGGCCTGGTACGTGAGAGCGGTAATCACCGTCATCAAACCATTCATCAGGTGAGCGGGGATGATCACTCGTTAGGCTAACAGGCCAAGATCATCGGCTAACAAGATGTCATGATCATTATTAGACGTTTCGTATTAATATCTAAACCCATCAGTCTGAACCGTTTCTCTCTCTCTCTTGCAGTGAGAAGTTTAGCAGGAAGATGCGCTTCATCCACAGCTTGCAGGAACTGGCAGAGTTTGTTCCTGTGGACCAGTTGCAAATCCCAGACTGCATCAGAGAGTGAGTGTCCACATCACACCACATTAGTGCATGTACATTATTTGACAGCTGAACTAAATATATACAGTATATATATATACATATATGTATACATTTTGCTGTCACTTAACCCATTCAGAACCTGTGTCCATTACAATGGGCATCACATGTCAGCCCCCTTTTTTTTAACTTCTGGAGCATTTCACCTAGTTTAAAGCCTGCAGTCCATGAGATTGGACGTTTGTCATCCAATCAAATGCCAGTAAAGCTCTGCATGTAGTAATTATATAAAAAAAACCTCTACATTGAAGAGAAGCATGGCAGCACTTCACTCCAAACACAGAAGCAAGCATCATTTTCTAAGGTGTATTTACATTTTGTATATATTTTTGCCAGTATTTCATAGTTTGTATGTAAAATAGAAAGATTGAACTTACTAATTAAAGTTAAAAATCGACTGTAGAATTGCACGTTTTAAATCAGGATTTTTTTAAATGTGTCTGTCCATTAGAATGGACAGTAGGTTTGAAAGCCTGTTACTGAAGTCACATTTTCAGTGGTGCTGATTGAAATTTCTTTTATAAAATATATATATATATATATATATATATATATATATCACAGTAGCGATACATACAGTTCTGAAGTGTTTGAACATATAGCTGATGAAAATATCTCAGATGTTGACTTCATGTGGAGTAATGAGGAAGATGGAGAAAAAGAAAAATATCCATATTTAAAACTTTATAAAGTAAAATAACTTCCGGCCAGAAGAACATATGGATTTGACTTAAATCTAAAGTGCAACTTAAATATGAATATTTTAAATTTTTTTAGTGTGTGTGTGTGCGTGTGCACCTGCTGTCTGGTCTAGTACACAGTAGTGCAGTGCCAGCAGTGTTTATGCGGATGAGTGCGTGTTGGCGCTGATTGTGTCCTCTTCACATCCGTTCCTCCACTCCTCCAGCACCTGACTGCCAACACTCACTTCAGTCCCTAATATGAAGACATGTTGTCATGGATCCGTGTCAATATCGGGATTCTGATAACACCTGGTTTGGCCTATACATCCTTTAACATTCCCAGTTATTTAAGCCTCTAAATGTGTGTGTTGTGTGCCGTTATAACTGATCTTCAGGCAGTTTCAGGGGATTTATGCAACACGTTGCCCCCCCCCCCCGTTTTTTTGTAGGGAAAGTGTTGGATATCTCAGCTCTGGAAGGGTCTAGAGCCTCCATTTTTGCACTCAGGTCTAAGTCTCATGGCCCTCTATCAGAATCCAGAGTTTTGAGAAGATTGGAGAAACTTAATTTCTCGCCCCGAAAAAAAAAACGAAAGGGGTACCACTGTCGTATTTTTCGGGTCGAAATTTTGAGTTTCTCTGATCTTCTCGAAACTCTGGATTCTGATAGAGGGCCATGAGACTTAGACCTGAGTGCAAAAAATGGAGGCTCTAGACCCTTCCAGAGCTGAGATGTTGAGATCCCATGTAGCATTAATGCCATTATAAATATCTCAATATCTCAGCTCTGGAAGGGTCTAGAGCCTCCATTTTTGCACTCAGAAATATCTCAGCTCTGGAAGGGTCTAGAGCCTCCAATTTTGCACTCAGGTCTAAGTCTCGTGGCCCTCTATCAGAATCCAGAGTTTTGAAAAGATTGGAGAAACTTTATTTCTCGCCTCGAAAAAAAAAAGAAAGGGGTACCACTCATTTTTTCCTGGTCGAAATTTTGAGTTTCTCTGATCTTCTCGAAATTCTGGATTCTGATAGAGGGCCACAAGACTTAGACCTGAGTGGCAAAATGAAGGCTCTAGACCCTCCCAGAACTGAGATATTGAGATCCCACGTAGCATTAATGCTATTATAAATATCTCAATATCTCAGCTCAGGAAGGGTCTAGAGCCTCCATTTTTGCACTCAGGTCTAAGTCTTGTGGCCCTCTTTCAGAATCCAGAGTTTCGAGAAGATCAGAGAAACTCAAAATTTCGACCCGAAAAAAAAAACGACAGTGGTACCCCTTTCGTTTTTTTATCGGGGCGAGAAATTAAGTTTCTCCAATCTTCTCAAAACTCTGGGTTCTGATAGAGGGCCATGAGACTTAGACCTGAGTGCAAAAATGGAGGCTCTAGACCCTTCCAGAGCTGAGATATTGAGATATTTCTGAGTGCCAAAACGGAGGCTCTAGACCCTTCCTGAGCTGAGATATTGAGATATTTATGATGGCATTAATGCTATGTGGGATCTCAATATCTCAGCTCTGGAAGGGTCTACAGCCTCCATTTTTGCATTCAGGTCTAAGTCTCATGGCCCTCTATAAGAATCCAGAGCTTTGAGAAGATTGGAGAAACTTGATTTTTTCGCCCCGAAAAAAAAAAAACGAAAGGGGTACCACTGTCATTTTTTCAGGTCGAAATTTTGAGTTTCTCTCATCTTCTCAAAACTCTGGATTCTGATAGAGGGCACGAGACTTAGACCTGAGTGCAAAAATGGAGGCTCTAGACCGTTCCAGAGCGGAGATATCGAAACTCAAAATTTCGACCAGAAAAAAAAGACAGTGGTACCCCTTACGTTTTTGTTTTTTCGGGCGAAAAATTAAGTATCCCCAATCTTCTCAAAACTCTGGATTCTGATAGAGGGCAATGAGACTTAGACCTGAGTGCAAAAATTGAGGCTCTAGACCCTTCCAGAGCTGAGATATCGAAACTCAAAATTAGGACCAGAAAAAAAAAACGACAGTGGTACCCCTTACGTTTTTTTTTTTTCGGGCGAAAAATGAAGTATCCCAAATCTTCTCAAATCTCTGGATTCTGATAGAGGGCAATGAGACTTAGTCCTGAGTGCAAAAATGGAGGCTCTAGACCCTTCCAGAGCTGAGATATCGAAACTATAAATTTCGACCAGAAAAAAAAAGACAGTGGTACCCCTTACGTTTTTTTTTTCATAGAAAAATTAAGTATCCCCAATCTTCTCAAAACTCTGGATTCTGATAGAGGGCAATGAGACTTAGACCTGAGTGCAAAAATGGAGGCTCTAGACCCTTCCAGAGCTGAGATATCGAAACTCAAAATTTCGACCCAAAAAAAAAACAGTGGTACCCCTTACGTTTTTTTTTTTTCGGGCGAAAAATTAAGTATCCCAAATCTTCTCAAAACTCTGGATTCTGATAGAGGGCAATGAGACTTAGTCCTGAGTGCAAAAATGGAGGCTCTAGACCCTTCCAGAGCTGAGATATCGAAACTCAAAATTTCGACCCGAAAAAAAAACGACAGTGGTACCCCTTTCGTTTTTTTTTTCGTGCGAAAAATTAAGTATCCCCAATCTTCTCAAAACTCTGGATTCTGATAGAGGGCCATGAGACTTAGACCTGAATGCAAAAATGGAGGCTCTAGACCCTTCCAGAGCTGAGATATCGAAACTCAAAATAAAGACCAGAAAAAAAAACGACAGTGGTACCCCTTTCGTTTTTTTTTGGGGGGGGCAAAAAATTAAGTATCCCCAATCTTCTCAAAACTCTGGATTCTGATAGAGAGCAATGAGACTTAGACCTGAGTGCAAAAATGGAAGCTCTAGACCCTTCCAGAGCTGAGATATCGAAACTCAAAATTAAGACCAGAAAAAAAAAACGACAGTGGTACCCCTTACGTTTTTTTTCATTTTCGGGCGAAAAATTAAGTTTCTCCAATCTTCTCAAAACTCTGGATTATGATAGAGGGCTGTGCGACTTTGACCTGAGTGCAAAAATGGAGGCTCTAGACCCTTCCAGAGCTGAGATATAGAAACTCAAAATTTTGACCCGAAAAAAAAACGACAGTGGTACCCCTTTCGTTTTTTTTTTTTTCGGGCGAAAAATTAAGTTTCTCCAATCTTCTCAAAATTCTGGATTATGATCGAGGGCTGTGAGACTTTGACCTGAGTGCAAAAATGGAGGCTCTAGACCCTTCCAGAGCTGAGATATCGAAATTCAAAATTTCGACCCGAAAAAAAAAACGACAGTGTTACCCCTTTCGTTTTTTTTCATTTTCGGGCGAAAAATTAAGTTTCTCCAATCTTCTCAAAACTCTGGATTCTGATAGAGGGCCGCGAGACTTTGACCTGAGTGCAAAAATTGAAGCTCTAGACCCTTCCAGAGCTGAGATATCGAAACTCAAAATTAAGACCAGAAAAAAAAACGACAGTGGTACCCCTTACGTTTTTTTTCATTTTCGGGCGAAAAATTAAGTTTCTCCAATCTTCTCAAAACTCTGGATTATGATAGAGGGCTGTGAGACTTTGACCTGAGTGCAAAAATGGAGGCTCTAGACCCTTCCAGAGCTGAGATATCGAAATTCAAAATTTCGACCCGAAAAAAAAACGACAGTGTTACCCCTTTCGTTTTTTTTCATTTTCGGGCGAAAAATTAAGTTTCTCCAATCTTCTCAAAACTCTGGATTATGATAGAGGGCTGTGAGACTTTGACCTGAGTGCAAAAATGGAGGCTCTAGACCCTTCCAGAGCTGAGATATCGAAATTCAAAATTTCGACCCGAAAAAAAAACGACAGTGTTACCCCTTCGTTTTTTTTTTTTTTGGGCGAAAAATTAAGTTTCTCCAATCTTCTCAAAACTCTGGATTATGATAGAGGGCTGTGAGACTTTGACCTGAGTGCAAAAATGGAGGCTCTAGACCCTTCCAGAGCTGAGATATCAAAATTCAAAATTTCGACCCGAAAAAAAAACGACAGTGTTACCCCTTTCGTTTTTTTTTTTTCGGGCGAAAAATTAAGTTTCTCCAATCTTCTCAAAACTCTGGATTATGATAGAGGGCTGTGAGACTTTGACCTGAGTGCAAAAATGGAGGCTCTAGACCCTTCCAGAGCTGAGATATCGAAATTCAAAATTTCGACCCGAAAAAAAAACGACAGTGTTACCCCTTACGTTTTTTTTCATTTTCGGGCGAAAAATTAAGTTTCTCCAATCTTCTCAAAACTCTGGATTATGATAGAGGGCTGTGAGACTTTGACCTGAGTGCAAAAATGGAGGCTCTAGACCCTTCCAGAGCTGAGATATCGAAATTCAAAATTTCGACCCGAAAAAAAAAACGACAGTGTTACCCCTTTCGTTTTTTTTCATTTTCGGGCGAAAAATTAAGTTTCTCCAATCTTCTCAAAACTCTGGATTATGATAGAGGGCTGTGAGACTTTGACCTGAGTGCAAAAATGGAGGCTCTAGACCCTTCCAGAGCTGAGATATCGAAATTCAAAATTTCGACCCGAAAAAAAAACGACAGTGTTACCCCTTTCGTTTTTTTTTTCGGGCGAAAAATTAAGTTTCTCCAATCTTCTCAAAACTCTGGATTATGATAGAGGGCTGTGAGACTTTGACCTGAGTGCAAAAATGGAGGCTCTAGACCCTTCCAGAGCTGAGATATCAAAATTCAAAATTTCGACCCGAAAAAAAAAACGACAGTGTTACCCCTTTCGTTTTTTTTCATTTTTGGGCGAAAAATTAAGTTTCTCCAATCTTCTCAAAACTCTGGATTATGATAGAGGGCTGTGAGACTTTGACCTGAGTGCAAAAATGGAGGCTCTAGACCCTTCCAGAGCTGAGATATCGAAATTCAAAATTTCGACCCGAAAAAAAAACGACAGTGTTACCCCTTTCGTTTTTTTTTCATTTTCGGGCGAAAAATTAAGTTTCTCCAATCTTCTCAAAACTCTGGATTATGATAGAGGGCTGTGAGACTTTGACCTGAGTGCAAAAATGGAGGCTCTAGACCCTTCCAGAGCTGAGATATCGAAATTCAAAATTTCGACCCGAAAAAAAAACGACAGTGTTACCCCTTTCGTTTTTTTTCATTTTCGGGCGAAAAATTAAGTTTCTCCAATCTTCTCAAAACTCTGGATTATGATAGAGGGCTGTGAGACTTTGACCTGAGTGCAAAAATGGAGGCTCTAGACCCTTCCAGAGCTGAGATATCGAAATTCAAAATTTCGACCCGAAAAAAAAAACGACAGTGTTACCCCTTTCGTTTTTTTTTCATTTTCGGGCGAAAAATTAAGTTTCTCCAATCTTCTCAAAACTCTGGATTATGATAGAGGGCTGTGAGACTTTGACCTGAGTGCAAAAATGGAGGCTCTAGACCCTTCCAGAGCTGAGATATCGAAATTCAAAATTTCGACCCGAAAAAAAAAACGACAGTGTTACCCCTTTCGTTTTTTTTCATTTTCGGGCGAAAAATTAAGTTTCTCCAATCTTCTCAAAACTCTGGATTATGATAGAGGGCTGTGAGACTTTGACCTGAGTGCAAAAATGGAGGCTCTAGACCCTTCCAGAGCTGAGATATCGAAATTCAAAATTTCGACCCGAAAAAAAAAACGACAGTGTTACCCCTTTCGTTTTTTTTCATTTTTGGGCGAAAAATTAAGTTTCTCCAATCTTCTCAAAACTCTGGATTATGATAGAGGGCTGTGAGACTTTGACCTGAGTGCAAAAATGGAGGCTCTAGACCCTTCCAGAGCTGAGATATCAAAATTCAAAATTTCGACCCGAAAAAAAAACGACAGTGTTACCCCTTTCGTTTTTTTTCATTTTCGGGCGAAAAATTAAGTTTCTCCAATCTTCTCAAAACTCTGGATTATGATAGAGGGCTGTGAGACTTTGACCTGAGTGCAAAAATGGAGGCTCTAGACCCTTCCAGAGCTGAGATATCGAAATTCAAAATTTCGACCCGAAAAAAAAAACGACAGTGTTACCCCTTTCGTTTTTTTTCATTTTCGGGCGAAAAATTAAGTTTCTCCAATCTTCTCAAAACTCTGGATTATGATAGAGGGCTGTGAGACTTTGACCTGAGTGCAAAAATGGAGGCTCTAGACCCTTCCAGAGCTGAGATATCAAAATTCAAAATTTCGACCCGAAAAAAAAACGACAGTGTTACCCCTTTCGTTTTTTTTCATTTTCGGGCGAAAAATTAAGTTTCTCCAATCTTCTCAAAACTCTGGATTATGATAGAGGGCTGTGAGACTTTGACCTGAGTGCAAAAATGGAGGCTCTAGACCCTTCCAGAGCTGAGATATCGAAATTCAAAATTTCGACCCGAAAAAAAAAACGACAGTGTTACCCCTTTCGTTTTTTTTCATTTTCGGGCGAAAAATTAAGTTTCTCCAATCTTCTCAAAACTCTGGATTATGATAGAGGGCTGTGAGACTTTGACCTGAGTGCAAAAATGGAGGCTCTAGACCCTTCCAGAGCTGAGATATCGAAATTCAAAATTTCGACCCGAAAAAAAAAACGACAGTGTTACCCCTTTCGTTTTTTTTCATTTTCGGGCGAAAAATTAAGTTTCTCCAATCTTCTCAAAACTCTGGATTATGATAGAGGGCTGTGAGACTTTGACCTGAGTGCAAAAATGGAGGCTCTAGACCCTTCCAGAGCTGAGATATCGAAATTCAAAATTTCGACCCGAAAAAAAAAACGACAGTGTTACCCCTTTCGTTTTTTTTTCATTTTCGGGCGAAAAATTAAGTTTCTCCAATCTTCTCAAAACTCTGGATTATGATAGAGGGCTGTGAGACTTTGACCTGAGTGCAAAAATGGAGGCTCTAGACCCTTCCAGAGCTGAGATATCGAAATTCAAAATTTCGACCCGAAAAAAAAAACGACAGTGTTACCCCTTTCGTTTTTTTTCATTTTCGGGCGAAAAATTAAGTTTCTCCAATCTTCTCAAAACTCTGGATTATGATAGAGGGCTGTGAGACTTTGACCTGAGTGCAAAAATGGAGGCTCTAGACCCTTCCAGAGCTGAGATATCGAAATTCAAAATTTCGACCCGAAAAAAAAAACGACAGTGTTACCCCTTTCGTTTTTTTTCATTTTTGGGCGAAAAATTAAGTTTCTCCAATCTTCTCAAAACTCTGGATTATGATAGAGGGCTGTGAGACTTTGACCTGAGTGCAAAAATGGAGGCTCTAGACCCTTCCAGAGCTGAGATATCGAAATTCAAAATTTCGACCCGAAAAAAAAACGACAGTGTTACCCCTTTCGTTTTTTTTTCGTTTTTGGGCGAAAAATTAAGTTTCTCCAATCTTCTCAAAACTCTGGATTATGATAGAGGGCTGTGAGACTTTGACCTGAGTGCAAAAATGGAGGCTCTAGACCCTTCCAGAGCTGAGATATCGAAATTCAAAATTTCGACCCGAAAAAAAAAACGACAGTGTTACCCCTTTCGTTTTTTTTCATTTTGGGCGAAAAATTAAGTTTCTCCAATCTTCTCAAAACTCTGGATTATGATAGAGGGCTGTGAGACTTTGACCTGAGTGCAAAAATGGAGGCTCTAGACCCTTCCAGAGCTGAGATATTGAGATCCCACGTAGCATTAATGCCATCATAAATATCTCAATATCTCAGCTCAGGAAGGGTCTAGAGCCTCCATTTTGGCACTCAGAAATATCTCAATATCTCAGCTCTGGAAGGGTCTAGAGCCTCCATTTTTGCACTCAGGTCTAAGTCCCATGGCCCTCTATTAGAATCCATAATTTCAAGAAGATCAGAGCAACTCAAAATTTCGACCCGAAAAAAAAAACGACAGTGGTAGGCTACCCCTTTCGTGATTGGTTGTGGAGCAGATACTGCAAGCCATCTGATTACCAAAGCCTTACCACGCAACGTCCCCCACAAATTAGCCCTGTTATTTAGTGGCACTTTCCCTTGTTATATTCCATGCATTATCATGGAATCATTATCATTAATAGAGACGTTCGCAAAGACCCGCCTTTTTTAGTAGCTTATGTGACGAGCCACGAGCCAGGCGGGTCACGAGTCACGCATATCATGTTCTCATGCACTCACGCAGTGAAAAATACATCGCGGGGCAAAGACTAACGTACACCGAGTGATTACGAGAGAGAGTTCAAAGCAGCTTACTGATGATATGAAACAAAGTCTAACTTTCGAATATTGTCATTTAAGTAATTTAAACAATACTGTTTTCAAGTTCATATCCACCGACGTTACTGACAGCTTTGTTGTCGGACAAAGTTGCTTATGCGGCGTTATGATTGGCCAGGCCACCTGTCAATCAAACCCCCGTGGGCAGCAGGGCACAATTGAAACGTCAGGTTTTAATTTGATATGACAAATACATTTATTCTATATTTAACTTGTGAACGATCGACCTGCTGCTGCCAGTAGGCCTATAGATGATGGCTGCCATGCGCCTTATTAGAATACATCAACCAATAAATCGCCTTTAGCCTACTCTTCACTTCATTCTAGTCTATTCTTAAAACACAGCGTCATCATCGACCCCACAAACTTTCGGTAAGTTTGAATATTAACTTGATGGATGTATAATTTTGCTCTTTGTGTTTGTTTAAACTCTATATTCGCCAAAAGGACTGGCGATAATATATCGCAACCCGGTATCACGACAAGACGTGAAATAATCACGTCGGTCCACTTTGGAAAACGTGTAGATGTCACGGTTTAACCCCTTCAAACGTGAAACTTACACGTTTGCGTTAACACATTCCAGTGGAGAGATACCCGGATGTTAACCTATTTTAAATGTATAACATTACAAATGCAGCAAACACACTAATGTCTCCTAATCTGTAAGCACTAAGGTGCTAACGGCACTGAAGTTACAGGAGTTTCTTCCCGTTGCTAAGCAACGGTAGGTCGAGTATTTAAAAGGTTATGGTTAACACGGTTAACGTGGTTTAACGTCGATGTAATTCGTTGTTTTAGCGAACCTTTTGCTTAAACGAGGAGCTGGGGGACGCCGGAAAAATAGCCTAGACGTTTTAGCCTACTAATTTGGCTACTTCATTAAAACGTGACATTTTGACGTTTTTTTTCGGCGTGGATCAAGGCAAATGAATCCTTTTCACCTTGAAAATAATACTTTTTTTGCATTTTAATTAATAGAACATTTCTCAGTGATCAATTACTACCTGCTGCATCAATATAGAGTATTACATCTGCCAAAACAAATCAAAATTATTTTAGAACTTTGAATTTGCAGATATTTGCATGATGATCGCAATCCTTTCCCATCATTGTTTTCTTACGCAATTAATCTCAATTAAGACACACACACACACACACACCTGTACCTTGTACCTGTCATGAGGTAATTTAGAATTTTTTTAAACAAAGGAGCTCTAACATGTTTGTGTGTCTGTGCTTTTTTTCTTTGGTAATTTGTTTTGGTGAACAGCAATAAACATTAACAATACAATGCATTATAAAATACAATAAAGTATATCACGACAGTACAGCACAATTTAAAGTGTTCAAATCAACATACAGCATCATGTCTTGTTGTTTTATAGCATTTTGTACATGTTCTTTGACATTCATAGCTTCATATTTATTAGTATAATTCCACTTGTGTGATGTAATTATACCTCTCTATTGATTTTTTTCCATTTGAATTAAAGGCTTGAGAAGAGGAAAAAAAATAAAAAACAAGATTACATATATTGGTCCGTGTACGTTGCGTTCATTCGTTTTTTGATTTGATATTGAAAGTATAGAAAAATGAGAAAACGGCTCATTTATTCTTTTTTCTTTTTTCCAAAAAAATAAAAATAAAAAATGAGAATTAGGCTTGATTTTTATATTTTTATGTTCAGGGATAAAAAATGGAAAATGGTGTGGGTGCGCATGAAAAGCCCCTTTGGCCCCTGATTGGTCAACCAAATATCAACACTTTCAGCTCTTCCACAGTTTTTAACAGTTTCCACAGAATAACAGTCCTCCGCTGCTAGACTGATTCTTTAACACAAATCACGCTGAGCAGGGACTAGAAAGGGGTTTCTTGATTCAATGATTCAATGTCCCAAATCGGTTGAATCGGTTGAATGAATGACTCACTGACTGACTAGAAACAGTTACGTGCTGCCACCTACTGGGGGTCTTACTCTCATAATCTAAGTATTGTTTCATTTTGTCATTAATTTCATATTTAAAAGGCTATTCAAAATGTTATATTTTAAACGTTAATATCATAATACTATGTAATTGTAATTACTGTGTAAATCCTCTGAGCAGCATTTAACAGTTAATAGTAGGCTAATAGGGCTACATGCCAGTTCAGAATTCAGATGCAGCTTCTTTGGTTGATACCATAGACTGTAAAAAAAGATACTAATTTAATTTGATTGGTAACAGCTTATTGTCTTATTATTCTAATTGAATTTGTCGATTAAATTTCCATTTTTGTATAAAAGATGACAAATAGCCAATATTTAAAAGAATATTAGAATAATTGCCCTTGCAAAGGTAAACATAATAAGCTGTAAAAGTTATAAGCTATGAAAAACAAACAAACCAACAAAAACAAACAAACAAAAAAAAAAACAAATAGAATAACAACCTAAATAGATGCGCTGTGACATTGACACTAAATAATGCAATTTATATCTTTTCATATCTATCATATTTAAGCTTCATCCCTTGTCCAAAACTCAATGTGCAGTCTAAAATAATAGTTATGACTGCTGCATATTTACACTTAAATGGATACTGGTCTGCGTGCTGTCCAGTGGGTTACCCAGCTTTGAAGCTAATGATGGGTCATGTGGGTGCAGATGCGAGATAATCTACATAATATTTCTGAAATAATCAGCTAATATTTCTCTAGTGTATATTGTCAAATCCATGCCTATAGAGAAGAAAACCCTTTCTAGGCCCTGCCCAGCGCGATTTGTGTCAAGCATCAGTCCGGTTGTTGGATTAGAGAGTTTTTATTTGTAATAAACACTTTAAGAATCCGTCCAGCAGCGGAGGACTGTGGAAGAACGGAAAGCGTTGATCTATGGTTGACCAATCAGCAGAAAGGGGCGTTTCATGTGCGCCCACATTTTTCTATCCCTGAACATAAAAATATAAAAATCAAGCCGAATTCTCATTTTTACATTTTTTTTGGAAAAAAGAAAAAAGAATAAATGAGCCGTTTTCTCATTTTTCTACTTTCAATATCAAATCGAAAAACGAATGTACACGGACCATACATTCAATACATAAAAAAATAAAATAATAGTTGCCCCAGAACAGATTGTTGATTACAAATTTAAAATGGTTTCATGGTCTTTTCGTGATCAGTTCAGTCTAATCTACCAAAGAACAAGGTTTTTTATTATATATATATATATATATATATAAAAAACAACTACAGCATCTGTCTCATTAAACTCAGTCAGTAATTTCTGCTCTAAGTCTGAACACAAATACATCATTATTTGCCCTTAGCACTCCCAAAAAGTGATTCATGTGCACATCTTCCTCATCTGAAAACTAATCTACAGTCCATCCAATCCATCAAGGATAATTCAAAGATGATTTTACGTAACATCTGTCTGTTGCAATTGTTCATGGCCAGTCTTGGCCTCAGGATGTTTGCAAGGAGTGGAACCTAACTGTGCAGTTTGCCCGAGTAACCACAGACGCTGTCTTGATAGTTGTTTAGATCAAGCTTCAGATCCTCAAAAGTGGGACGGTCCTCTGGCTCTGCTCTCCAGCAAGATCGCATGATGTCATAAATGATCTGTGGACATTTGGCTGGTGAAGGCATTCTATAGTGTTTTTTTGTGACGAGATCATACACCTCAGCATTTTGAACACCTATAAAAGAAGATAATGGCTTGAATAAACAGGCTCAAATGTTACAGGGTTAGTTCACCCAAAAGATGGAAACTATGTCATTAATGACCCTCCGTTCATCTTCGGAACACAGTTTAAGATATTTTAGATTTAGTCTGAGAGCGTTCTGTCCCTCCATTGGAACTGTGTATACGGTGTACTGTCCTTGTCCAGAAAGGAAATAAAGACATCATCAAAGTAGTCCATGTGACATCAGTGGGTTAGTTAGAATGTTTTGAAGCATCAAAAATACATTTTGGTCCAAAAATAACAAAAGCTACGACTTTATTCAGCATTGTATTGTCTTCCGGTGATGTCACCCACTGATGTCACATGGACTACTTTGATGATTTCTGGACAAGGACAGTAGCCTATAGCATGTATTTATTTTCAATGAAGGGACAGAAAACCCTCGGACTAAATCTTACATACCTTAAACTGTGTTCCGAAGATGAACGGAGGTCTTACGGGCTTGGAACGACATGAGGGTGAGCCATTAATAGCATCATTTTCATGTTTGGGTGAAGGCTGTGAGGTGATTACATTACACTGATTACATTTAGCATCGCAAACATTTTTCCATTTAAAGTTTTATGAAAATGTTAAGTTTGAATATGCAAATGAGGCATTATCTAATTAAAGATTCAAAAATTTGCATACTTTTCTAGAACAGAAATCTGAATTCTTGTTGACTTCTTGAGGTTTATACAGAAGGGATTTTTTTGTATCACTCCAGAAATCAGAAAATATTGTCAACAGCCAGGAGGATTTTTTTTCCATGTTTTTAGGAATAAAATGACTCACTCATCTTCTGGCTTTCTTGAAAACGCCCCTTTATTTGTACTGTAACTTAAATCTACATACGCAAATAGATAAAGTACAATAGAATAAACACTTAAAGGCCTATTTGTAGGCTTTCTTTTCACTAGTCTGACAAAACATTATGAAAACTGACCTGGGTAAGGGATGGCTCCATGTGTGACAATCTCATAAAGGAGAATCCCAAATGACCAAACATCAGATTTAGTTGAGTAACGGCCATGACCGATAGCCTCAGGTGCGGTCCATTTAAATGGTATTTTCTTGTCATCACATATATAAACAGGCTCCTGTTCACATATATAAACAGGCTCGTTAAAAGACAACTTCATAGAACAAATGCATGCGCTGAAGAGAACTTAAAAATGATTGTAAAATCGCTCTTGGGTCAGTGTATCATCCGATCATTTGATTTGTCATGGCTATGTGCCCAAGGTTCCTACCACTTCCTCAAAGACCAGGTGGTGAACCTGCAAGCGCTGCCTTTGGAGGAGGCAGACCTAGCCCTGGCTTTTCTCTGTCCCGTTCGTGCTCTGCATATGAACGTGGACAGAACTCAAAGCATCAGGACCTCAGACCAGCTCTTTGTCTGTTACGGAGGCCAGCAGAAGGGAAAGGCTGTCTCCAAGCAGAGGATGGCCCACTGGATAGCTCAACCTTGCCACTGGATTACAGTTTCAGTAAAATTTTATTTCACCATCATCGGTACCCACCCTCAGCCGATTGGATTACAGTATTTGCAATGACCATCCAGTGTCCGAAATGTAGCTTATACTGTCTAAAAGAAAAGTTGTGACTGCTGACTGAACACTGGTCTACTGTGCCTCACCCGCTCAACACTGTCAAGCGCAGCACCACACAGATTTAACTCCGCACAGCTAAATAAAACAGGCTGGTGTCAGCCTACTATTTAATATTATTTAATATATTTAAATTATATTTATATATATATTTAATAAAGCAGAGAAAAGAGCTAAACAAAGAAGAAAAAAGGAGGGAAAAAGAAACGGCAAACAGATATTAATCATGGTACATAAACTATCTCTATATTTCTTCAAAAAAGAAATACATTTTCTATTATCAATTATTCTTAGATATTTGAATAAATGAAGAGTTCAGATGCAAAAGCCTCTAAATGCCATTTGAAATTTTCTTCTTTAATGATGATTTTTTATCAAACTTGTATATTTAAGTTCAGTAATTTCACTTAAATAACAATTAATAGGTAATTATCATTGCCATTTAAGTGAGATCACTGAACTTAAATATACAAGCTTGATAAAAATCATCATTCTAGAAGAAAATTTCAAATGGCACTTAGAGGCTTTTGCATCTGAACTCTTCAAATATTTTACTTCACATAAGAAATCTTTAAAAGTAGGAATTTTCTTAAGAAACCTTTGTTTGTGAAAGTAAAAGTTTGCCACAAGGTTAAAGAAGTTACCGGTAGATTCTAAAGATTTGTTTGGGTTTTCAAAAAAACAAATTACATCCTTAATGGGAGATTAACGTTGAGGACTATTATTTTGTTGAACAGACCTGAGCGACGACTGATGATGTCACATGCTCAGATTTACTTGACCAATCAGCGGAAGGTTTTCGTTTTCTCATTTCTGCTTATTTCATTTCAAATTGGAAATGAAATGATCGGATGATACACGGACCCTCTTGCAATGTGATTGGTTAAATTTGACTGTTCTGTTTCATAGTACATACCAAAGAAATATTAATTCACAAAACCATGTTCCCTACTGATATTTCAACAAAGCAGGAAGCAAATGTCCCTATAAACAATTTCAAGAGTAATTTCCAGGATGCAGTACTTGAAGTTGACAAAATAAGGGGCCGGTACTCGCTTTTGTTTGCATGTTGGTATGCGTGTTTATGTATATATATATAAATACACACACACATGTAGTGTGTAATAGTAATAAACGTAATCTATTACATTATACTGTACAATTGTAATATAATCTGAATACTTTTTGATTACTTTTGTACTAACTAGTTTATCACATATTCAGTATCTCACTCACACACACACAAATTATTTATATCAATCACTTAAGATCCAAATTTTGAAGCTTCACATTTTGAAAATCAGCAAAAAAATCAGTTTGCTCACCTTAATGACTCGAGCTAGGCCAAAATCACCAATTTTGCAGACGTTTCCCTCTCCGACTAGGACATTTCTTGCAGCAAGGTCTCTATGAATACTGTTATGTGCCTCTAAATATACCATCCCATCTGCTACTTGAGTTGCCATGTCGATCAGGGACTCCATGTTCAATGCCATACCCTCTTGACCTGAATGATGGGGAGTGATGTTTAAGATTGAGAACGTGAGACAGCATAATCACAGCATGATCAATGCAAGACATCAGTCTTATCAAGGGGACAGTGACTGACTTCTGAGGAATTTAAGCAGATCGCCCTTCTCTATTAGTTCAGTGATGATGTAAAACGGGGCCGAGGAAGAGCAGACGGCAAAGAGAGAAATCAGGTGCCTATGACGCAGACGCTTCATGATCTGCACCTCCAACTGAAAGTCCTTCTGATTTAGTGAATCTGTGAAGAAAAAAAGAAAGAAAAAGAAATAGACACAAATGTTATTTTTTATGATGTTTATTTATTACACATATATGTATTTTTCTTTTATTTTTTATAAAAATATATTTAGTATTTATTACAAAATCAGCAACTTGCTTTTCCGTTTGAGGTATTTAGTTGCAGATTTACCAGTGTAATGTTGAGGATCACTGCCATTCTGCACGACTTACATTGTGTTCAGCCTCAGCTCACATTAACCTCACCAGTAATGTGTGCAATGTACAATCTGAAACCGTTGGCTGTAAGGTATTCATGCCCTGAGGCTGCAAAGCAGGTGGTTACCTTCATAAGGATACATTTATTTTGTTTGTATTATGCAGTTGATTTTTGCCCAATGTCACATTGAAGGATGACATGGACAGGCAATTTTTGGATGCAAATGGGTAACATTTACATCCAAAACTTGCCTATCCATGTCATCCTTTAATTGCGGAACACTATAAGTGGCAAAAGCTAGATTTCCCAGCAAATCCTGGGGTTCTCTTTATTTCAAACACTGGTTTGGGTTTATTCTATTTCCTGAGATAGATTTATGAAAATGTTTATTTTTAATAGTGTGTATATTCTAAGGCACTCAAAAACCTCTTTTGATCCACTGCATTAACTTGTGCTGTCAGTGTCAAGTACATGAATACATAAACACTCATGTGTTTAAAGCTATTAAAAGGTTACATTCAGCATTTTCCCCACAAACACTGCCCATTCTGAATCAAAGATTGTAATATCGACGTGAAAAAGTTTTTATCTTTAAAAAAAAAAAAAGATTAAGATGACGGTCCTCTCATATTTTTGAATGATTTAATTGCAGTTTGCCTAATTTCTTCATTTAAAGCTTCAGACTTTCAGATAACAAAACTGAATTATTTTCACATTTAAACACAGCCAGAAGTTCTTTTGGATAAAAAGAGCAGGCAGAGTTGAAACTATCAAACTTGCAAGTTGCATTTGTAAAGGTCTGTGACACACCAAGCAGACGTCAAAGGACTAGCGGAGACAAAAGCTGACTATGTTGTCGCCTTGCGTTGGCTACGTCTGGGCCGAAAAGCTGCACTTGAACACACTTAAAGGACTACAACTGGCTGCCAACTAGCTTGTGCGTTCTGCGCCTGCATGTAGGGAATAAACTGTCTACACTCACCTCAAGGATTATTAGGAACACCTGTTCAATTTCTCATTAATGCAATTAACTAATCAATCAATCACATGGCAGTTGCTGCAGAAGAACCCACCAGGTACCACTCATCTCCACTACAAATAGGAAAAAGAGGCTACAATTTGCAAGAGTTCGCCAAATTTGCAAGAGTTCACCAAAACATTGTTTCTGACCATGTCCATCCCTTTATGGCCACCATGTACCCATCCTCTCATGGCTACGTCCAGCAGGATAATGCACCATGTCACAAAGCTTGAATCATTTCAAATTGGTTTGTTGAACATGACAATGAGTTCACTGTAATAAAATGGCCCCCAAAGTCACCAGATCTCAACCCAATAGAGCATCTTTGGGATGTTGTGGAACGGGAGCTTCGTGCCCTGAATGTGCTAAGGCAGTTCTGAAGGCGAAAGGGGGTCAACCACAGTATTAGTGTTCCTAATAATCCTTTAGGTGAGTGTATATCAGCAGGTATCAATACCAATCGCGCTGATCACTTTTTTATTCCAGGCGGCTCATGTTGTTATGAATACATTGTTGAATTTGGATTGCTCAGTGCTTTTATCACTTTTTTTTTTTTTTGGTGTACTGACTCGCCCGCTAAACTGACCAGCCAATGATCTCTCACCGATGACAATTCAATATGCTGAACTCCTGCTGATGTAAGCTGACAACAGCTGATATGTGGAACACACCGCAAAAACTAGCCCGACGCTGGTCGATTGTCGACCGTGGGATTGGTGTGTCATGGCCCCTTATTTATTATTTTGCTGTGCAACATTTACATTCTTATTTTTAGCGCTGCTCTGTAGCACAGATGAGCTCACCATTGTTCTTGAGGATTTTGATGGCCACTTTAGTGTGATTCTTCCACATGCCGCTGTAAACTTCAGAAAAGTGGCCACTACCCAGCAGCTTCACTAATTTAAGTTGTTCTTTAGGCACTTCCCATTCATCGACTGTGGAGGGTGGCAGATTCTCAGGCCGGGGCTTTTTCTACAGGAAGATGAGTCATTGGTGTCAGGAAGTTTACAAATGCAATTCATTTTATTAATGCAACAGATACACCTTCCATATTTACTGGGTTTGATGCTTTGCATTTAGATATTAGCATTTTTTTACTGGAGGACTGAAAAATGAATTTCTTGAAGTTGCAAATATTTACTGTAGCCTATCTAATGCAAATGGTGGTGTTCTCATAAAAATGAAGAAACTCTTTCAGTCACTTCCTCATATGACAAAACTGAAAGAGAATGTGAAAATAAGGGAGATTGAAAAACAAGCATAAGAAGAGAATGGGGGAAAATTGGAAGAAAAGAGTCTCACCCGAATACAGGGTCGCTTCAGTTGGTCTGAAGTGGTGAATGGGTGAGTTTTATAATATTCAACCACCTCTAATACACTGGCGAATGTAGGAGATGGATCCACATAGAACTTTCCACCAGACTGGTAGATCTTGAAGTGCTTTGCATTGTCCTGTGTCTTCACTAGGAGAGAAGATTCAGAACTTCAGTCTCCAATAGACCATTTCACAAGAAGTAAACAACACTGGTCCAGAAGCACTTCCTGTTTCAGTTTGTAACTGTTTTCTTTATTTCACATGTAAAGAAAACATCTTAAAGATGTTTGTTTAACTTTTTGATTCAGTTTTAAATGTTCTGTTGGTTGTATTTTATCCCAGCTTTTATGTAGTGTTAAAAAACTGAAACAGGAAGTGCTTCTGGACCAGTGTTGTTTACATCTTGTGAAATGGTCTATAGCAGCTTTAATATGCGGTGAAAAACTCACTAATGATGACAAACCTGAGATCACAAAGCCTGTGCTGTCAGACTCACTGATTCGTACAAGGAAGGATCCATTATCATTTCCTGAAAACATGAGGTGACTCAATGCTTCAAAACGGCTCATCTTTCCAAAAAACCACCTAAAGATACAGAAAACACATGGGTTGTACAGTATAATTTCCTTTAGGGTACAGTTGATAGCATAGTTGTTATTAATGTATGAATAATTTGGAATCCTCCACTATTTAAATCACATTCATTTGAATCAGATCAGTTCAATGGATCAATCACCAAACTGATTCTTTAAACGGTCTGAACGATTCATTCACGAAACAGACAATCAGTTTCTTCCATTCAACTGTGTCTCAGTTCACTTAGTAAAGGGCCATTCACACCAAGGGCTAGAACAGTCTTAATAATCAGTTATGAAAATAGGAAAGTCCACATCACAGCTACAACGATAATGACACAGATAATGATATTGTTGAAATCATTTTCAGAGCAATATTTACAGTTGATGAATGATATAAACATCGACAGCCATTCAGAATCCATAGGCAGATGACATAACTGCATGCTTAAAATAAAGGTGTGACATTGGTGTCCATTGGTGTGACCCTGTCACGTTAACTATCGATAGAGTTATCTTTATATTTAACGTTATTGGTGTGAACAGGCCTTAATCCTTCACATTTGTTATTATCTCACTGGTGGAAAATATTTTCAGTGAATAACAACTTACATTTGTGTCATTTCTTCACCTAAAGCATCAGTACTAAGCGACGTTATGACATTTTTTATGGTACTATTACATTTCTTTTTTAACCTTGACAGCTTCAGCATGCATTCGGGAATTGTGGGGAGGGGGGGAAATCGCACAGGAAATTGCAAGTACACCTGGCTGCAGCCTCCCCACCCTTACTCTGAATGGCTTACTCGTCTTCAATAGGCATTCATGATAGAACAGAAGATGTGTTCATAGTTGGTGTAAGTCAGAGTTGGCTAGTGCATGGGGATATTCAAATTAATTAACCAATTAGTAATATCCTTAATCAGCTCTACCAAACGTGGATGTTTTTCCACTAAGAAATGAACATTGTTAATAATATATTTTGATTGATACTGTGAAGCTGCTTTGATGCAATCTATATTGTGAAAAGCGCTAAATACTTGACTTGACATGGATTGATGGGCGAATGTCATAAATTAAGTTACAAAACTGTAAAAGAGAGGTGTCTAATGCTACATAAATAAGAGCTTGTTTCGAGCTCAGTCAAGAGCACACTTTAAAGGAGTACTTCACTGTTTGCTGATAATTTACTCACCCCCATGTCATCCAAGATGTCCATGTCATTCTTTCTTCAGTCGAAAAGAAATTAAGGTTTTTGATGAAAGCATTCCAGGATTTTTCTCCATTTAATGGACTTCAATGGGAACCAAACGGTTCAAGGTACAAATGAGAGTTTCAGTGCTAGGGTCCTAGATAAGACCCTTATTCATCGTCTGGTGTCGTTTAAAAAGCCCTTTGAATCTGCACTGAAACTCTCATTTGGAACTTGAACCGTTTGGTTCCCATTGAAGAAAGAAAATCCTGGAATGCTTTCATCAAAAACCTTAATTTCTTTTCGACTGAAGAAAGAAAGACGTGGACATCTTGGATGACATGGAGGTGAGTAAATTATCAGCAAAAGTTTTTTCAAAAGTGAACTACTCCTTTAAGAATCTGAGACAACTTCAGTTGTTTTCTGCTAACTCGCTTAGTATCTGTATAATTGAATCACTAAGTTTTATACTGTTTAATCTTCTAGAAATCAGTCGAATTCACAAATCAATCTAATTTATAATGAAACCAGAAACTGTTTGCTGAAATAACCACAACGTTAACAAGTTATACTGAAATAAAAACGCGCTGTTTGTCTGTAATAGTGTTAACAAACTAACGTTACTTTTCAAAAGTAGCTTTGAAACTCACGGTTGAGACTCTACGGATTCGGCTCGCGCCATATAATTGAACGGAACATAGCCGGTGGTTACACTGCCGAAGGAGTCGATTTTCTTCGCAGTCCACCAGTCACCGGAATTGTTGTTGACAATCTCGAACATATCACCAGATTTGAACGACAACTCCTGTTCGTCGCGTGCCTCAAAGTCCCATAGAGCAGTATAAACAGCACTCTTCGGACTCGGGCGCGAACTCGGAGGCTGAGGTGGATGTGGCTGAGGCTGCGCGTAACGATCATCTGTGTTACCAGGTACTACTCCGCCCGTACAGTCACTGTCAGGTTTCATGCTGTTTTCTCCATCGCCCGCTGAGGATCCGCATATTCTGTCCCAGCATGTCCTAAGACATGGGCAAGTTTTACTCAAACATTCCCCCATGAGATAAAACTGTCCCCGAGATGCACCTCTCTAGAGGCTTCCCATACGAGTCTATTAGTTAGTTAGTTTAGAGAACTGACATTAAAATGAAACCTTCCGCATTTGAACCACGCCTGTGGACGACAATGACACAAGCACAGTAGGCTAAACAGGCAATCTTTATTGTTTGAGGTCAATTGCTTTACAGGCTACCAGCATGCTTGAAAATTTCTGGTCAATCTCAAAGTCGGGTTACAAGCAAACAAATGACCAAGAAACTGCAGAAACATGTATACTGAAAAAATACTTTATTTACAAGAGTTATTTTAAGAATAATCCATTGGAAGACAACAGACTTTTGACATGGATGTGATTTCTACGAAACCGATCATGAGGAAACCTACCCAGGTAGTTTTTGTCATATGGCTCCTGTGTTCACCACAGTATAGTTACACGATCGTGTACCTGGTAGAAAACAGTTATTTGTGCAGCCTGTCTTTCACAAAGGCTAAAGACACTCAACAGTTATAACTTAACAGCTGTAGTTTTCACCGTCCCGGCACCTGTCCGTACACTGGCAGGTGAATCTTTTGTAAACATAAACTCTGATCTGAAAACATCAGATTAAATAATCGCCTGTTCCTACTGCTAAACTGAATGGGCCAGATCAACTATAGTGCAAAATAAACTTAAGTGCAGGGCAAATGATGCATATTATAAGGGTGCATAACAGTGATCAACTGGTGATCAGGAGTCGCGATGACAAGCTACAGATAATCTGGCCCCTTCAGATTAAGATGATGCACATTTCCTCTTTTACAATTTCCGCTCCTTTCCTCAACTCTCATGGAATCTTTTTAAAAGTCCTTTAACAAGCATTAATTATTGCACACAACTTCATTAACATAAGCAATCCAAAAGTCCAATGTGCATGCAAATCTTTCCGTCCCACAGGATCCTCCGTTTTCAGTCCACCGGTTCTACACCTCAATGGTTTTGAAGTAGAGTCTGGAGTAGATATTGTCCAGCTGACTGTGAAGGGCGTGGAACGAGGGCCGCTTGGAAGCCTCCGCGTGCCAGCATTCCATCATAATGCGGTAGATGTTTGGGGGGCAGCGATTTGGACACGGTAACCTGTAACCCGACGACAGGATCTCCAACACCTCCTTATTATTCTTCCCTGTGGAAAGACCGTTCAAAAGTGTGGGGTCCGTACGTTTTTAAAGACATTAAATTGATCAAAAGTGACAGTAATGAGATTTATAATGTTGCAAAACTTTCTATTCATCAAATAATCCTGATGAATGGTGAGCATAAGAGACCACAAGCTTTTGACGGGTAGTGTATAAAAAAAAAAAAAAGGAAGGCATTTAGTGTTTCTGTAACACAGACCCATACCATCATACGGCATCTTTCCACGTGACATCATCTCGTACAGCAGCACTCCAAAGGACCAGACGTCAGATTTGACGGAGAAACGCTGGTAGAGTGCGGCTTCTGGAGCCGTCCACCTCACAGGAATCTTGGTGTTTCTGCTTGCTGTATACACACTATCCTGCACACAAACGCAGAATTACACACTAAGCAGAAACAACTTTATTTCCAACATGCGTATTTCCAGCAGCATCTTTGACATCCAACCGTTACCTTGATGATGCGGGCCAGACCAAAGTCAGCTACTTTACACACCAGGTCTTCACCAACCAGGATGTTTCGAGCTGCTAAGTCTCTGTGGACAATGTGTCGATCTTCCAGGTACGCCATTCCTTCTGCTATCTGACTAGCCATGTAGATCAGGTGAGCAGAGGTCAACACCTGACCCTCCGGCGCTACAGGAAGAAATGGACAGGGCAACATGTCTGAGACCATATTGAAAATGTGGGATTCTAAATATTTTATATCTGGAAATAAACTGAAAAAATGTTTATTGATATAAAATAAATTTTCTAGGCCACTAATCAAATATGTTTTACTAAGTGACATGTGATCATGTGACTCTTTGTACAAAGTCAAGATGCATTTTAGTTTTATTTATTGAATTAGCTTTTATTTTTAAATGTTTAGTTATGTTAATTTTAGTTTCTTTTTTTTTACAATTTTGTTATGAGCCTTAGTCATTTTATTTGTTTGTTTTTTTATAATATGGCTATTTTTTTTATTTCCAGTTACAAATCAAACTAAAACTTATTTAGGTTTTTTGCAAAGGCAGCACTTCTAACTAAAAGTTTTTCAATAAATATTTGTAATTTATTTTATATATTTTAGTTTTAGTAAATGATAATACCCTGCTTTGGATTTCATTTTGTGCATTTCATGCAGCTCGAGTTGTTAAACCAAAAGGGGAAGGAAACTAATTGAAAGCCAATCTGAATTTTCAATTCAACTTTCAGTCAAATCATTATAATCTCAGTTCAAGGAAAGATGCATTAATACAAAAATAATTCATTTTACTTTAAGAACTTACAGAATAAAGGTTCATGGATATACTTTTGTGTTTAAAGGAGTACACTTTTGCTGATAATTTACTTACCCCCATGTCATCCAAGATGTCCATGTCATTCTTTCTTAAGTCGAAAAGAAATTAAGGTTTTTGATGAAAACATTCCAGGATTTTTCTCCATATAATGGACTTCAATGGGAACCAAACGGTTCAAGGTCCAAAAGACAGTTTCAGTGCAAACTGCAAACTGTTCAAAGGGCTTTAAACGATTCCAGACGATGAATAAGGGTCTTATCAAGTGTAACGATCAGTCATTTAAAAAAAAAAGTTTAAGTTTTATAAGCACAAATGCTCGCCTTGCTCTGTTCTGTGATTCATTTTGATGAACGAGTTCGAACAGGAGAGTCACACAGAACAGAGCAAGGCGAGCATTTGAGCTTATTGAGTAACTAAACACTAAACCAACTTTTTTTAGTTAATGATCTGTAAGAATGGATCTTTATTAATACCAGTCATTGATTCGAGTAACTTTTTTGACATTTGTTTATAAAATGTTCTATTTCTAAAATATATAAACGTATTAGTGCTGCCCTCTTCATGTTGAACGGTGGCTACTGCAGTTGAATTTTCCTATTGGATGTTCCGCACTTCGTGACGTACGCAGGTTTCAGCTCACCACGCGAGCTACACCCTTGGCAGTATAAAAACCATCTTGTGTCGTCAAAACCACTGTAGGGAGTCAGGAATTGAAATTGTGAGTATTGAAAACGATCAGGATAGAGTGTTTTAGCATCTATTTCGTCCTCTCTATCCCCGCTGGGGTCAGCCCACTTTTTCAGCATTTTCAAATATTGCCAGTGGGTGGAGTCAGGCTCTGACCAGGGGTTTAGTTACCCTTTAAACCCTTTAGTTACCCTTTTTTTTTTTTAAATGAGTGATCGTTTCGCTTGATAAGACCCTTATTCATCGTCTGGAATCGTTTAAAGCCCTTTGAACAGTTTGCAGTTTGCACTGAAACTGTCTTTTGGACCTTGAACCGTTTGGTTATCAATAAAGTTCATTATATGGAGAAAAATCCTGGAAAGTTTACATCAAAAACCTTAATTTCTTTTCAACTGAAGAAAAATGACATGGATATCTTGGATGAAATGGGGGTTAGTAAATTATTAGCAAAAGTTTTTTTTAAAGTGAACTACTCCTTTAATGACTTCATGTACTTTTGAACTGTAACTAAAACTATGTGGTCAGATAATGCCATAAATGTTTATGAGCACAGACGTGATTGTCTGATAAGAGAAAAACAAATGCAAAGCAAGAAAAACCAAGTAATTTTGTGTGGTTTATAATACATCATTCATAGATACACATGCAGGTGCAGTAAATGTAGTGAGCAGGGAAATAGAGTGTAGTGACACTTACAAGAAAGGTATGATTTGAGACTTCCTTTAGTCATGAGCTCTGTGACGATGTAGACAGGCTCTCCTCGTGTGCAGAGAGCCAACAGCTGAATGAGCTTCGGATGGTGCAGGTTCTTCAGTGCGTGAACCTCCTTCACAAACTCATCCACCTTTGTGTCCTCTACAGGGCAGAGTAAGAGAACAAACGTTAGAACACACACACACACACAAAAAACACATCCAAAATCACATTTATCCATTTATATTTGTATTAAAAACCATTTGGGTACAGACAATGATCCTTTTCTTAGGGTTTGATCCAGATCCAAATGATGGATAATGTTTTGAAATTGAAACAAATCTAAATAATTTAAATGAAAATCATTTGTGGGCAAGTTTGAAATCCCCAAATAACATTCAAATTGTTCTTACACAACAACATTACGTAACTCCTATGCTTAGATTTCACTATATGAGAAAATAGCAATTTGGGCTCATTTCAGTTAAGCTTTTACATTTATCTTCATGTCTTCATATAATTACATACAATATTTAACTTTAAGAATGGAAATCATATTTGTTAGGTTTCCTTTATCACAACATCCCAATTAAAGTCCCTATTATATGATTTTAAAGGCTTCTGATCATATTTTGGGGGTTTCCTACAACAGGTTTACATGTATCCAAGGTTAAAAAACACTTTCATTTTCTTATAATATACTGTATGTACGTTGCAGCACCTCTTTGCTCACAGTATCTGAAACGGTTCAATTAACGATTCGATCTTTCTAAACCCCTCATTTTCAAGAGCCTACTCTGCTCTGACTGGTCAGATGGCTCAGTCTGTTGTGATTGGTCTACTCTGCTCTGATTGGTCAAAAAAATAAGTCATGTGGACAGTGAGCGGACTGTTGTGGAAATGCAGACAGCTGAAGTATACTTTGAACTTGTGGATGTTTTGATTTTTTTCCACTAATCAAAATGTTTTAAGAAAAAATCCTTTGTTTTCTGTTTTTTCTAAAAGTCCTTAATTTTGTAATATCCCCTTACAAAGGAGTTAATTATCATCCAGGGGTGCGTTTCCCGTACAACGACGTAGTTCACTGCTTCACTACCATAGTACAATGCATCGTTGGAAAAATCAACTAGCTAGTCATGATTGTTTCCCGAAACCCACTGTCGCAAAGTATCGTTCAACCACGTTGGTTTCGCACGTGGTGGAGTAATAACTGCTTTTAATGAAACTGTTTGAGATCCAATTAACGCTAGATTTGTTTTATATAAATTACAGAC